GAAGAAAAATTAACAACTAAAACTCTACATTCACTTGGTATTGTTTGGCTTGTATCTTCCCATTGAAGTTTAAGACTGCAGTTGATCAGTCTGTTATTGGCATATATACATACTGTGCGTATGCCTCGATATTGCCTTAACTCACAAGCTTTTTGTAAGCAATGATGGATAGTGGCTAGCAGTGGAATCCAGGACGCGCGTTTCGCCCTGTTTGGGACTCGTCAGATGGATGTGCCTGCATCTCAGATTTGATGTTCTCTCTGGGACTCGAACCCAGTACCATTCACTTCAAACGCCATCGCGTTATCCACTCAACTACTGAGTCCTGATAGCCATTTGCTTGTGCAATGGGGTGAATTTAAATTCACTTTGTATTATTTAGCTTGTATGTTCTCATTGAGGTTTAAGACTGCAATTGATCAGTCTGTTATTGACATTTGTGCATACTGTGCGTATGCCTCGATATTGCCTTAATTAAAGCTCTACATATAATCATAAACCTAAAAATATCAACAAATGAGATGGAGTTTAGTTAAATAAATCCTTCTAACAATTGATTTCTGAATTTTTTTAAAAAAAAAACATTACCTTGAACATTCATTCCTGTTTGTACTACCATAATATTGATGTTAGCAACAATGTAATTGTAATCTATTTCATTGATTGCTATGTCTGAATTTATTTCTAGTTGCTTTAGTCTAACATTAAAACAAAAATAAATCTTAACTATTTATCTAATAAGACATACATTGACTAGCTTACTTTGAAGTAGATATGTTTTCAGTTTTATCATAAACGGAATTATTTATCTAATACTAGATGTAGACAAATGTTTCATCTTTTTCGTTGGGTTTTGATAACATTTAAACACATTTATTATGAACATATTTAACATTAAATGATTCATTCTCACGATATATTTATTATCATTAATGGCTTTATACAATATTATATTTTTGGTACAATATAGAATTCTCAGCACAAAGTACTTCATTAAGTTTCTTTTTCTTATTTCTTGATCGACCATTGCGATAAATACTGAGTGATCGCCAGTTAGATACTGTAGTCCAGGAATCGACATCTGAATAATGTGTATTCTTTTTGTTGCATATTGCCAGAAATTGCGATGTATCTAATTGGGCTCTTTTGTAACTTGTACACCGAAATGTCGTAAAGGTTTCATAAACGCACCTGAATAGGTTATGAAACTAATAGACATAATGGTAGGTTGAAACAAATAAGAAAATAGATCACTTGTTGAAATATCCAGATGGTAGGAACAAGTAACCCAGATATTCAAGCAGGCACTATTTAAATATGATTAGATAAACGTTTATTATATAATTATTTCTGATCATATTTATCTTTGGTAACTTTGATTTCGATTATTTTTCAAAAGAAATTTGCACTAGATTAACAGAGTAGATATAAGAACTATTTAAATTTTAGTTACTTAGATTACTGCTTAATTTTACATCTAACAATGATGATATTAGTTCTTGGTGATCACTTAAATAGATTAACTGATAATGATCAGAAGTTTTAATAAAATAAATATGAGATTAGTATGACTAACTAAAGTAACTAATGAAAATTAGAAATGAAAACTTGAGTTACTTGAACTATCAAGTTATTACTGTAACTAAATAAAAGATGCCAAAGAGTATAAAGAATGTTTAGATTATCCCATTGTTGATACTCTGATCATTCTCGTTTTTGGTTTATGTGGATCCTGTGTAGATTATCTGGAAATAGCTAATTTACATTAGATGGGATGAGGCTAGTAATGGAATTCAGTACACATATTCTGTCCTATTTAAGACTAATCAGCTAGATTTACCTGCATTCAAGCAGATGTTCACTCCGATAATCAAACCCAGTATCATTTGCTTCAAACACCATTTCATTATCCATTAATCGTGAATATTATTGCGGAATTAAAACAAGTATCAACGGTAAATCGGTCACCAAGGTATTGACCAAGATCAATTTGTATGCGTATAAATTTTGAATGGGAAAACAAAAAACTGGGACTTTTGTAACATGTGAAATTTTTCAGTTACTTTATCGTCAGCTGCTGTTTGTTCAGTATCTATGATATGTCTGATATGCCGGACGATCTGAGGTTATTCGGTTATAAATATCCTAATATAGATATGAAAAATTGTGATAAGACTATCTGTATGAGTATTAATTTGCAGTAATGGGGAAATCCAATCATAGAATACGCATATAACTAGTAGTTTATAAACCGAAATTTCAGGTATTATTGCTTACTAACTTTAAACAGTTATTCTATTCTTTTGACTCTCAGTTTTGTTCTGTCCGTTACTAGACAGAAACATACTATTACGACTTAAAATAGTATAACTATTTTTACATACATTTTCTATTAGTCGAATAACCATAAGATTATATTTGCGACGATTTTACTTGTCCAGCGTACATCAACGCTAAAGTTCGAGAATGATGGATTAATTTGTTATCTGGTGATGAATTTTAACTGTATGAACTAAATGACAGAGTATATGTATTGAGAAAGCATTTCTATCAGCTTTCAAAAGCTAGTGGTAAACTGTATAGCAAATTTTTACGAAGGAACAATGTGAAATTAATTGCCAATAGGAAAGTCTTGATATAAAATGAAAAGCTTTAACACTTAGGCATACAGTTGGATGGGATCAAATCATATTTATTATTTATTTCATGTACTTAGAAGCAAATTGTAGCAGAACATATTGAATAGTATAGTAATAATCCATTAATGAGATCAAAGAAATGTTTATTAATCATTGTCTAAAATCTTGAAAAGTGTATTTTTGATATTCAATTCATTTACTTACCTATTTACTTATTGCACTGTTTATCTAAACTAACAGATTTAAACTAAAATTGGATATCAGAGGACATCGATGATCGGCGGTCTGCTTGAGCATCTGAGCTACCTGTTCCTGTCATCTAGATATTTCAACAAGTTATCTATTTTTGTTTGTTTTAATATATCATTATGCCTATCAATCGCATAACCTATTCTGCTGCCTTTCTGAAAAGTGTACAACCTTTCGTTGTCAAAGTTACAAAAGCCCAATAAGAGATAATTTGGTCGCTGGCAATATGCAGAGAAAAGAATATACATTATTCAGATATTCATTTACTGGACTGCTAACATCTAACTGGTGATCACTCAATATTTATCGTCAGGATCGACCAAGAAGAAAGAAACGGAAACTTGTTGAAATACTTTGTTCTGAGAATTCTATATTGTACCAAAAATATAATATTGAATAAAGCTGATAATAATAATAATAATAATAATAATAATAATAATCACCTCGAGGGAAACAACGTATATTCATTGTTGTATTAGTCTTCATTAAGTACATATAGGTATAAATTATAGAATAACTGATAAACTTACAAAATGTTGAAGTACTATTCATCATTAAAATGTAAATTCGGCGAGACTTTAATTTATGGACGAGCCAATCAGATGCGCTTGATGGATTTCAAGGTCACGGCGCCAATTTCAGTACTTGACGCTTACAGTCGTGATTATTGAGCGGCTACAACAGATGGGACTACTAAGAAGTTCCTTTATTTGTGACTTCGGTTATCAAATGACTGCTGTACCGTGTTCAGACTACCGTAATGAGATTGTCTTTCGATGTTATTTATTTTGGAGGAACTTTTGGAGGGACTTTCTTCTCTCGATCCCGATCGAAACTAAGACAAATCATGACAACTGTTGCAAATTGGATAAAAAATGACCAATAACACTGACTGCAACATTTTCAGACGTTACTGAAACTTCAGCTGTTTAGTAGTATGAGTATTGCAGGGATATATATGCAATGGAAATGACAAGTTTACACGAGCCGTTTGGAGGAGTTGGGAGAATCGTTGGAATAGACGAAACAGTAGTCCGGAAGCGAAAATATAACAGAGGACGTAGTATGAAAGAAGACTGGGTAAGTAGCAATTACATAAATATACCTCACAGGTACTTGGAATTTACGACAGATCAACCCAAAAGCGACACTTCTAAAGGGTCAGAAACGACAATAATATCAATTATACGGGAACACGTGTAGCCGGGAACCACAATATATACGGATGATTAAAGAGCCTACCTATACCTGAATAGACTTGAATATGTGCATCCTGTCGTTATCCACAAGCGCCATTTTGTGGACCCTACAACAGGAGCGCACACAAACAATATTGAAGCTATGAGGTCGAGGCTAAAGGAGTTCTTACGACCCCATCATGGCTCGAGAGGTCGATTATTATGGAGCCATATGGATGAGTTGCTCTACTGTATGAACTACGATTTCAGAACCTCTGAGCCTCTTTCAAAGAAGTGTATCCACTTTCATTCTTTGGATTTTATAATATATTCTTACTTTAAACTGTCTTCTGATTGGCTAATATTTTTCAGGGTCACTTAAGATTCGTTCAAAGGTCGTCCATAAATTAGAGTCTCGCCGCAAATTGAATTCAGTTATTTATGTTGTCTTTTACAGAATATTATCATATAACCTAAAGTCTTTGTAGTGATGATACAAAATTTTAGCTGAAGATAAGCTGTATTTAATTATTTCTAAATGCTCAAATGAACTATTTTTCCCATGATTTTAAACTGTATTCTTTAATAAAATTGACAAAATTCAACTAATGAAGCAACTTCAATTACTTGTAATGATTAACAACTTTTGATACATCATAATTCACTAACTAACATAGCTTTGTTCTGAAGTAACTTTTTTACACTTGGTGATATCTACTAAAAGTCATTTATAGTAATATAATTAAGAATTAAATTCTCTTTTCAGAACTATAGTTAGTGATATTGACTAACCTTGTCTACTCACTAGTCAAACGATAAATAAACCATTTGTTGGCGACAAATATAGTTTTTTTCTTTTCAAACAGTTATGTGAATTTACTTTTTTTGATATATATCAAAACAACAATAAACTGGGCGAAAAAGCAGTACTCACTTTTGTCAAATAAGGATAACTTTCTTCTGATTGTATTCCATCTTTTTCAACATATCGAAATGCATTATTCATATCACCGCCTAAACAGCCGTGGTTACCAAATGAATAACTACAGTCAATCAATTGTTGTGGTGATAATTCAACAAAAGTACCAGTCCTATTTTTTAACTGTCCCTCTAATGCTCCAGCAGCTGAAAACGCCCAACAAGCACCACATTTACCCTGAACATAATAACAGAAAATCTCACTCATCAAAAACATAAATATGAAGAGAAAATAAGTAATAATAATAATATACTAGCTTTATGTATATAAATCTGAAAGCTAGTTAACAGTTCTAGATATTTCCAGTATCTTTTATTTCTTTATCTATTAATCTCTCTAAACACGATTTCCACGCAAGTTTAAAAGTATACAATTAGCAATAAGAAACTATGGCTTAAATGAGAAAATGTTATATTGTACGTTAACTAATAAGACAACTGTAGGTATCGATACCAAGGTTGGACTTGATAGTTTCAAATAAATTGAGTACTGGATAGAGAGTTAATAATAAACATTTTTTTGTTATATTCCAATGTGTAGGAGAATTGTGCTTCTGACGTTTCGTGACTTAGTGTAAACCACTTCTTCAGAGTAAACAAATAACTGAATTAAATTAACATACGTTTAAATAGTACAAATGAAACAATACAGAATATTCTTGTTACAATCAAAATCATAATAGGTCTGAGTATGTTAATGTCAACTTATTCTTAAAACTAGAAAGGAAAGCCCAGGACAGAGTGGGTTGGAGAATGCTGGTCGGTGGCCTATGCTCTATTGGGGGTAACGTGCGTAAGTAAGTAAGTATGCATGTATTTTAATGTCAACTTATTCTTAGTCAAGGTGAATTTGTATGACCTGTCACTGTATTAATTTGTGTGTCAAAATGTGGGTATGAAAAGCGTATGCAATTGTAATATGAAGTAATGGGGTTAATTTAATTTCGGTGATTTATTTACTCTGAAGAAGTGGCTTACGTGAAGTTCCGAAACGTTAGAAATACAATTTTCCTACTCATTGGGATATGACAAAATATATAAAATACTTGTTTTAATGCAATCAACTGAATGAAAAAAAGGTTGTTTAACAGTTTTCTAAATCATATCAGTTTGAAGAAAAATGTATTTCCACATTTTCAGGATTATTTTCATTACATAATCCCATTTTGGATTCTAAATTTATTTTCCATTTTATGTTATTAATTAAAATAATTCATAGTTGAATTCATGAGTCCATTGCAGCTAAACCACCATGATAAACCTGAAAGAACTGGACGGTTGTTTCGTCATAGTATGGGACTCCTCAACAGTGCATATCCACGGTCCGACCCAATGCTAGGACAAAACGGCCGTGCAATGCTTCCAGGTTTTCCATGGTGATTTAGCTTCAATTGACTCATGAATTCGACTATAAAATTATTAAAACCCCTTCTGAAATAATTTATTCACAATCTATGAGGTATAAATTACAAAAATAAATAAATATTTTGTTGGAAATTGTTATTTTCATTAGTAAATTCTAATTGTAAATGTCAGTTTTAACTAGTTATCACCTTGATATATTATTTGAATATTCCTTCTTAAATGAATATTCTTCAAGGTGAAACACTTTTAGGATCATTACAGTTGCCTCCCATTAACTCTTTTTTTCAATGTAAAATTTGATTTTAATTTTAAAATTATGCCCAGTTTTTTAAAAAATTCTTTGTTAATTAAATTCTCTAACTGCATTTACCAATTCACATGTACGTGCCAAAGCACATACATTGGAAGAATTGAGAGAAGAGTGCATGTTCGCATTTCTGAGCATGTTCTAAAGAACTTGAGGCTGCGAAGGACTAGGACTCTCAACAGTGCAATAGCCTGGCATTTACTTGACACTGTGCATACCATCGACATTACGCACGCTTTTAAAATTATCAACAGACAAAGAACTACGACTGCTCTCCGTTTCCCTGAAGCAATCGCGATAAAAAAACTTAAACCGGATTTATGAATTATTTGGTTGTAAGCAGCTGACGAGACACCTCGAAATATTATGAATTCATACTATTCTGCATCAATATTTGTTCTTGTTCCATTTAATTAAATTCTGTTCGATAAACATTCTTGTTACGTAATAGGACGAAACATCAGTGTAATTATTTATTATCAGTATGTGGATTTATAGAGATTACATTATTTTAACAGTTAAATTCACGAGTCGATCCAAGCTAGATCACTACTGAAAAATCTGGAAACACAAGACGATCGTTTCGTCTTAGTATGAGACTCCTCAGCAGTGAGCATCCATGATTCCGCACCCAGGACCTTTGGTCTTACACTCAAAGTCTTAACCTCTAGACCATTGAAACAGCATCCAACGGTGTGAATATCTAGTTTCAATCAATCCATGATTTTGCACAACTCTTTATCCATTTTTAAAGTGGATAACTGTCTCACACCCGACATAGATTGAACTCCATTGGTCATGACTTTCATAGTATTATGAGTAAATTAAGAATTATAAATTTAACAGTCGATAAAAATTGAACATACATTCAATATTAAACTCAGTAACAATCCATATAAAGGAAACCTCACCTGGATTTTAACTTTACTTACAGCACCTACTTTTCTCCAATCCCATGAATCTGGTATTTCCTTTAATATTGTTTCATTTAAAGATTGTTTCAATAACATTTGACTTTTTTGTTTATGTTTATTTAAATATTGACTTAAATTCGTTAAATATATTGTACTTATATGACTCCAGTTTAAATCAGAGAATTGATTTAATCCTATTGTATATAATACTAAACCTTTATCATACATAAGATTATGTTGTTTCATAGAATGTAAATTATACAACCAATTTCACGATGTTCATTATACTCTTTATGAGTAGAATAATTTTTATGATGTAAACTTTTCCATTGTAACCATAATAAATCATCACCATGATGATCATTATCATTGTCATTAGTAGTGTGATTTATATGCTGGTCGATTACACCATAGCTGCTATTATTATGAATGTAAGTATGGTTTGGATAGACATTTACTATTAAATGTAAGTAAAATAATAATCTAATCATGTTTTGCAAATTAAATACGTTTACTTGATTATGTAACAACAATTAGGCCAGTAGTTAATGAGACAACTTTTTTGTTTTAATTTGTAACATCACTAGTAGTATGTAAGAATCTTAAATGAAAATGCAAACTATGCCTAATGAATAATATGACTGTGAAAGGTTAAATATTATTATATTTCATGTATTTTATATATATATTTATCAAATATAATACAGTATACTTTCATATAAACGTATTTAATTGAAATTCTAATGAACAATTCAATTTATACTTTCTCTCTATTATTTACAGAAAATTTACCGATGTTACTCGAAGGTCAATCGACGGAAACCATGGTTACATATTATTGTTATTATATGAATATCTCTGTATATGATGGGAGTAGAAATTCTTTTTTCGAAATTAAAAAAAAGCGAATAAAATATTCGATTAATAATTGGACATAAAATATTTGTTATATTTACGTAAATAATAAGTTGTTCGTGATACTTTTGAGTGACTTGCTAATTGGACAATGTTGTTTATTGAATGACCTAAATAGATGAAAATCATAGTAGCTTGTGTTACTTACCCATTAGTGAATAATCTGTTGAAGGGTATATTGAATCAAAGATAAATTAGTTTTCGTTTTAGAATACAAATTCTTAAATTAACTCAAACAAGCTGTTAATATATTCACTCATTTCTATCTAACATAACTCAGTATTAAGAAATACAGCAGGCGATGAAAAAGTAAATCAATTATCTTCGTTAACATAAACTTTTCCCTGAGAAAATATCATCTATAGTGAGTAACTGCCACAGACATAACATGGTTGAACTCCAGTGGTCATGGTTCCTTACTGGAACATTGATAAATACCTCTCGAATGTAATTTTCAGAGTTCTAGTGAGAAGCCATGACCAGTGAAGTTCAACTGTATCAAATATAATCTATTTCACTTCTCTATACAAACAATTTAGTCAATAGGTACAACAAAGCTACGCAACTTAAATTATAAATAGTATTTAGAGGTTACATAACATGTCATCAGTACATTTAAACACATAAAATTCACATCACAGTTTAACTTCGTTGCATGATTTAAACACATGTTATTTGATTTTATATAAATACTGTCTAAAAATAGTAAATAAAAAAAACCTTGATTCATTCTAGGACATAGATATAACAAAAACTGTAACAAATATGTTTAGATGTTTCAAAGAATTTGAGACTATAAGGTGGAGTTGCTTTAAATACTGTAATAGTTGACAGGGGCCATATTATTAACGTTCATCTATTCTTCAAAATGATCAACAAACCAATCCAGCTTCCCTTTATTTCGTTAAAGCAGAAACTCATACAAAACTTATGTGTCCAGAAAGAAAAATGTTAGTTTATCATTGCCTAGGTAAATCCATATTTTTCATCAAAGCTACATTTAACTATTTTTATTGTTATTCAATTTTTCCTAAAACTAATGTTATTTGATCGATATTGAACTAACTTTCCATTTATTAGTGTTTTCACTCACCCAGTCCTTAAAGCTTATATAAATTCGTCAAATTCATTATAATTATTACACAATTTGTCTTGTCAAATTCCACTTAATTATTGCCTCACTCCCTGTGTGTTAAAACGGAACGCACATCCATGATTCCACTGTTAGCCGCCATCCATCTTTGCTTACAATGCTTGTGACTTAAGGCAAAGTTGAGGTAATCTGCACAGGATCTATATATGCTAATAAGAGACTGATCAATTTCAGTCCCAAACATCAATGGGAAAATCCAAGCAAACAATACAAGATGAATTTACATTGTTGTTCTTCCTGTCATTAATATCTATTACTTCGTATCATATTATACCAATATTACACTTTAGTACAAATATGGTTGTAAGCGTCTAAAGAGAATTGACGAAATATATTTATTTATATTATTCTGCCCTTACTTTATTCAAACAAGAAATTATTTTAAACAGTATCAGATGATATGAGTTACAGAGTCCTGGTTTCTAGAATAATTGTCAAAGTGTAACATTTCTAAAAGACATTGATGCAGTTTGGTTATTGTTAATTAAACTTATCAATAAACAATTTTTTTATGAGTACAAAGGGTTTGGGGTGAATAGTAAGTTTGATAGTTTACGTCATGGACTCCAGTTAATTAGATAACTATTGAAATCTAGGATGCACTAAACAGCTGTTTCATCCTAATTGGGATCCTTTAGCAGTCTGAATTCATGACTCTACCCGAGATAGAACTTGGAACTTTCCGTTTCGAAACGAGTCAGCATCTAACGGTTTATATATTTTTCTTTCTATATTTAGTGGTCAATCAAACTAAGCAGTTATGTTTGAGCTTGTAATAAGAAAGTTTAGACCGTAAGATTATTTCCGACTAAGTAGAATAAGTAAGTTAAACCAGATTATCTGCAGTTACCGTTGGCTGAGAATAAATCAGTGCATATTTATTAGGGAAATCATTTGAATACAAGTTGCATATACCATAATACCAAAATATAAGTATTTCTGATTCACTGAAGATATTCAGTCACAAAGTAAGACAAGGCACATATATATGCATCGGTCCAAGTTGCTATAACTTATTAGCACAACATGATGAATACCAAATTCATAGAAGCAGTTACTTCAATGGTAGTAATATCTGAATCATTTAGGGTATATTTATGAATCAGTCGTTTTCAATGTGTTTTTTGGCGCGTAATTCGATAGTACGTCCGTTTGAAAATGAAAGGATGGTAATTATTAGAAAAATCCATCATTGTCTGATTTGAATAGAATTCTTTTGGGATATAATAAATTCTAAACAATGAATCTTAAATAATAAATTATTTTGAACACAGAATGAATAGAGTGTGCGTGGTCATCAATGTTTTTAAATTAAGTGACTGAAAACAGTGGATTCTACATACTACTATGCATGTAAAAGTATTTTGTTAACGAATGCTTGATGTATATTAAGTTCAATTTATAAACAGAACGAAACTAGTAAAACGTTTCATGATCATCAGTAGTGAACGAAAATGATGACCAAATATTTTATACCCAACTTGACTAATGAATGATCAATCAAGTTATCATGCGTTACGTTCACAATCTGTAAATTAAAATATTTGATTTTTCTAAAGCATCCAGAACAAGAAATATATTTCATTTTCAATTATTAGACAACAGGATTTAAGTCTAGTGAATTTTCAATCTACTTAAGACCATATGCATGCATGTAAAGAGCACTGATAATCAATCGATTACATAGAGTTACGATATTCGAGTTGTGGTAATAAGCAAGAACATGGAATAGGATGAAAAAACACAATATTTATCTAACTGTTAAATGCAAGTGGTTAATCTGCAAAATGATAATGAACTAGTTGATACTTTAGTGTTAATAGAACTATCTATTGGTGATTAGAATAGGTAAAAATCTTGAAGTCCTCAAACGACAATCACTTTGTGCTACATGCGAGCTTTTGCACCGAATAACATAATTTCGTTCTAATAAGTGAACGTCATGAAAAATCTCAATGAACTCCACTTTCCAAAACACAGTAATAAATTACTCTCATTAGGAAGGTGTTTCAGGTGACAATCTAGATACCTTTAGTGATAAAGGGTAATGTCAAATTCGGAGCAGAAAATCATTTTAGTGTTGTTAAATATTGGGTAAAAACAGTATTATACAATTGATGGAGAGCAAACTTAAGGTTTACTGTTGACTTCTTTTTTGAATCGATTATTATATTTGAGGAACTCATTGAATGCCTCAGACTTTAAAAATTCACATTTTCCAAACATATTTACACCAAATTCTAATGGTAATACTGATTTAAAATTAGTGTCACTTCTTTTTTATTCTGAGCCTAGTACAATAAACGCAGATAAACTCATCATTTTCTCACTGAAGCAGTTTATTTTGAATGCCAAACAGTTTACTTAATGATGAACGATTGAGAGTACGAATGGAAAGTGAAATTTCACTTCAGGCTCATCAATAACACAAAAGCGACATACGTATGTACACCCAACATGGCCGTGTAACAAAGACTCGATTATACAATGTAAAGCAGCATTGTGAGAGCTACAATCAATCAGATACGTAAATAATTTAATGACGTGGTCAAATAGAAAACTATGACTACGCAATGATAATAATTCATTCGATAATGGCCATACACTCTTACGAAATCAAATCATTTCTAATGTATAACGAGAATAAATACCACAAACAACAAAATCATTGTTATTTCCTTTAAGACCAACAGGAATAATGAATTTGTAAAACAATATCTTGTACATGAAAATGTAGAAAAGTTAAAAGAAACTAGATGAAAACCATTCATATATTGATTTTATATATATCTGTCTATCTTTAAGTGAAAATGAATCAGTTATTCGGTCAATTAAGTAACCAATTCGGTTACTACACTGCGTATATTGCGTAAATGACTTTCATCTAATCCATATGTTTTACATAGATTTAACAAAAAAATATCTTAACTAAATCATTAAGTATACCATGTGGTGAAAAAGGAAGAAGAATAACGAAAAGTTTGGAAAAACACAATGACAATAGAAACAAACGAAGGGACTTAAAAAAAAGAAGAATGAAAGAAAGAAAGAAGTTAAGTATTGCAAATATTATTTATTATTCGATTATGATGAAATAGTTCGGATTGTTTGAATTAGTAATGAAAAATGATGGAGTAAAACGCAGCAGTATAGAAAATTAGAAACAGAATGGATTCAGAAGAGGAGAGAACCAATACCCGATTCACACAAAGTGATGTCAAGGAAAAATCTAGAATGGGAAAGAAAATGAAAAAGTATTAACTATATATATATATATATATATACCAGTTATATCACTACTGGGCATATAATCAGATCAGGGGTGATTGGATGTCCATAATTAGACGTATGCACAATATGAAGTCACACAGTAGAATATGATGCTTTTAAATAGTCAAGCTGAAAATGTATTCAATTAAAAGATAATACAAGAGATAAAAGGGGGAAGGAAAACCAGAAGCACCGGTTACAGAAATAAATAAAATCAATTCAAGAAATAATAATAATAATATGTATTAAATTGACAGAACAGTAATCAAGAAACAGGAAAAAGCGGGGAGCAGGTCAACACTCGAATTTTTTTAAATATTATACACAGGGAAAATGCTTCAGTTAAATGGTAAATTTCTTAAATAGTATACATTCCAAAAAAAGGAAAGCTACACGAAATTAACAATGAAAACAAAATAATCGAATAAAGAATAGTGAAATATCCTTGTTTTACAAATATGCATATCGGTTTATATATGACTTAAATAGATGTAGACAATGATGGTTAGTAGACTGACTTATTACTTAAAGCAGCAGTAACCAATTAGAAAACTGAAATAAGTAACAAAATCGAAGTAAATTAACAAATAATACTAAAATTGTATCAACGGTACAGTCAGGGGAAAATAGAGAGCGTTCTGTTGTGTTTCTTTTTTCTTTAAAAAAGAAAGCGAATCCTATAATTAACAAATGTTGTTCTGAAACAGGATCACTTCATTTAAAAATAGACAACTAATGGTCTTTATTTATTACTAATAATAATAAATAATATCAATTACTGTTATTACATCCTAATTAATTTTCAAATAAATGGCAAACAAAAAAGAGTAATGAATGGCATGGTATGTTGTTACTGATATATAGAAATTATCAAAAGAATCATTACATGGAAGAATAAAATTGGAACTGAAGTAATTGTTTTTCCAAAAAAAGAAGATAAACAACAAAAAGTTGACCCTAACCTTAAAAAAAAACAGATCAGAAGCGACGAATATTGCCATATAGAAAGCAAATAAACACACCAACATACACATAAGTTATTTTTGAATAAACAATGTTCGATTTTACAATTTACATATTATATGAAACATAGATCGGATCCAATTTGTCATTAACAAAACTATCTCTTAATAGAATTCGTTGTTTTTCACCAGATGGATTAATTGGTACTGTTCTAGGATCCACTATTACAACAACACCAACAATCATTTGATGTTCAGTTAATACATGTGCTGTGATTGGATGAACAAGATCCATTGCTTCGTTCTCTTCACCAGCTAGTTCAGCGACTACAACCAATAAATTCGACCAACTAAATACAGCACTAAAAAATGTAATATAAAAAGGAATTGAAAAACTTTGTTGTTGTTTAAAAAAAACGATCAAACGAAAATAAGTAAGAATTTAATGAAAAATTCAGAAGAAAATGATACTAATTGATGAATATAAAGAATATGTTAACTATTTGATTTTGTATGGAGGATACAATAATGAAGTAATTAATACAAGATTATCTCGCGTAGAAAGATAATAAGTTTAAACACAGTATCACTGTATCTATGCACAAATCCAAAGATAATTAAATCAGTAGCGCGTCGGAAGCGGAGAGGGCATCTAAACAAGGAACTATAAGTAAAGCTAATTATTAATTGTTATCAGTATGGGGATTTGTGGAGATTGTAGTATTTTAACAGTTGAACTTACGAGTCAATCTAAGCTAGATCACCATTGCAAACCTGGAAGCGCTGGACGTCCGTTTCGTCATAGTGTGTGACTCCTCAGCGGTGAGCCTCCACGATCCCAAACGCAGGACTCTGACCCAGGACCTTCGATCTCGCAGGCAAACCGCTGTCCAGTACTTCCAGGTTTTCAATGGTAGATCGATTCGTGAATTCAACTACAAAATGTTAGTCTGAAAAATATATTTAATGTGAAGAGTTGCCTTTCGTGACATACCAGGATTAGTTTGTAGTTGCATATGCTAATATTCAGTCCAGGTAACCCAAATGATAAATATTTTATCATACTAAATAACTGTTCTTCCAATCTAACTTAAGTTAGAAATTTTTTTATTTCAAATCATTTTATTGTTTTCAAAGTATAGATATTTAGCCGATTATTTGACGGCAATTTCGGAAAAAAGGCTAAATCATTTCCCAATAACATGTAGTTTTCAAACATGATCAGAACATTGGTTTGTCAAGCAAAGCAACTTGTTCAGTCAGTTAAAACGTACAACGCGTACGTATGTATATCGATTCAAGTTGCCGTGCCCCAAAAGCAAGGGAAATAAAGTTGTCAGGCCCAATAATCTGAGAATATTAGAGATAGTAACAGTATTAGTTGTAATAGGGAAGAGTAGGCATCGAAGATATAATTTGAGAAAAGAAAATATAAATTAGTGAAACAAAAACAAAAAAGTCACAAGAAATTCAGGACATGAGAGAAGACGAAGAATAGATGCACTTCAATCATTGCAAACGATTTTGAGCCGTCAATCAAAGTCTAATCGCAGGTTACGATAATCCCGCGGACCACTATCAGGTAATATACACCTATTACCATGGCTTAGTCACTTGTCAATGAATTCATGGACCAACGACGAGGTAGTTGTAGATTGGGCATACGTAGTACAAGTCCTAACCACCTCAGTCGATAGATATTTACTACCTCATCAATCGATTTACCACCCACACTTAGCACCCTATTTCTAACCCAGGCATTGATTACTCAGTGGTCTCAAATCCGTGCTGAGATTTCGTCAGACACTAGATCATCAATACTGATGAGAATTCCGAGATAAATGAAGCAATCGATACGTTCGACTACTTCACTCCGTCATTAATCCTGAGACAACATTTTACGTTTGGAAAGAGAGAATCCCATAACAAACATGCTTGGTATATAGTGAAATTGAACGGATGAGTAATATTTAAGCATCAGAGAAAGTAATATAAGTTAAGATAAAACATATGGGTTAGTCATTGTCAACTCAATTTACATAGTTTGATAAAGCAAAATTACATACACATAGTTCCCTTTATTATTTTAAAGAGAGTAAGAAACCTTTGTTTTTTACTCTCTTTAAAAGCAAAATTAGTATCGTCAGTAGCAATTAACTATAAGAAGTATAAATCTTTCCAATGAAAAAATGCTGGTATTACAGAATACTTATTAACGTAGAAAAAAGGAAAACAACTTACCATTCACATATTTTCTTGTGTGAACGCATCACAGTATTCTCAATATCGATTGGATGAAAGCGCATTCCACGTAGTAAAATGGTTTCCTCTAAACTGCCTACGACAAATATGGCATCATGTAGTTCTGGTATGAAATAAAATGTAAGTAAATAGGTATGTAGTTTATGCAGAATGACCATGCAGTTGGAAAACAAATGGTCATATATATATATATATATATATATATATATATATATATATATATATATATATATATATATATATATATATATAAAAGGTTAATCTAGTCCCACTAATGCATTCGAATTAAAATGTAATACTTTACCATAAACATTTTAACTTTATTCATGTTTTATGTACAGCTATGATGACAATGAAACAAACTTTCTCTCTAAAAAAAAATAGTAAATGTCAGACGTTCATGTTCATACTTGTATTGACTACCATTTACGACAATCAGCTTTTACTATAAATTAAGATACACTTTTATACAAATTAAAAAAAGTATTTATTAGTAGACAGTTATAGAATGCAGAATGTACTGGGCATTGGAATTATTAGTAACGGTGAATTCCATTAATATAACAAAAATTTATTCATTTTATCATCTAGTTATGATGGTTGTTAGAAGATTGACTGAGACTAATTGTTGAATGTTAGCTCAGCAAACCAACACTTCATAGATCATGGTTAAAACAAATGATTTGGCATTTATTGAGTTATGTCAGAAATATCATTCATACTTTCTTCCAATAACCTTGAAATTGGACTATGAATGTAAAACAGCTGTTTATATTCCAAAACATGAAACTATAACCTATGTTTGTTTTAAATTTCTATCTATATAGCCCAAGGTTTATTCACTCACTTTTAAGCAATCGGTTGTTTTAGGGATAATGTCAAATTAAACTACACTCAACTCAAAATACCAGAAACATAAAGTTGAACAAACGATATGAGACAAGACAGAATGAAATACCTAAAATAAGTATTTGTTGGTAGGCGTTCAAACTTATCATTAGGTCAAAAAAACAGTCAAAAGTGTTGATAAATAGTTTAGTTGAAAAGCGGGTTTCCGGGAAAATTTATTATCAGAAAATAAAAGGTACTAACAAGTAAAACTATTTCACAGAAATTAAACTGACACATTACCTCCATCAGATTGAGTTAATTCGGTCCGTCGAACAAAACCTAAAAATCCAGTACGTGCATAAACTCTTTCAGTATCACCAGTAACTAAACGAGCATGTAAAGAATCACCAGCATTTATTCCTGGTACAGGTTGCGAAGCAACACCAGTAGGACGATTTAAACTAGCACTATCGAATGGACCTAATAGTTCAGTAGAATTGTGGGGAGATGATACCCATATTTCGCCTAATTGTGAATCAGCACATTGACCTAGTGTATCAGGATTAGCTATTACTACATGTACACCAGGTAATAACTGAAATCAAATCATTGAAAAAAGAAATAGAAACAGTTTATATCGGATTTTGTTATTATTTGATATTAGAAAAACGCTATACACAAAATATGTGGTCAAAAATGTAGGCATGATTCAGGTATTTGAACTTTTGACATACAGTATACGATGAAAAATCATTTAATTGATTAATTTAATACATCTATCGGATATGAAAATGTATACTTAACTTTCAGTCAAAATAAACGTCTGAAGGCTAATGGCTGGAGCAGGATTCGGACCTCAAACTTAGTAGATGAAAAGTAAATCCCTTAACTACTGAGTCAGCTCTACAAAACCCTTCCACACAAACTTTCAGATCTTTGTAATTAAGATAAGGAGTCAGGAGATTTGAATAGATGCCCGTAGAGATTCATTTACCTTGACGATATTTTTTTCAGCATCAGGCAGAAAATAAGGATAAGGGGAAGAAATGTTTACATATTTTACGTCAGTTACATAAATTTCAGCAGTGCTACTCAAGACTAAACAATTAACCCAAAATCTTTAGTTTCAACCATGAGTATTACTCGAGCATATCTAATCATCTATATTCACCAGTTTTAAACTACAAACAATGTAGTACAATGACCATAAAATAACACTGATAGACATTTCCTCATTTCCAAGTTGATAAAGTTAAAAATATTATACACTTACTTTTCCAGATTCCATAAGACACAGACTATGTGGTGATCCTTTTTCTAGTAATTTAACACGATCATTTCGTAAGCTGACACGATCTACATAAACAGTTGTGCTTTCTGGTGAACTAGCACCCTAGTTTGAATAGTAAGTGAGAGAAAACAAACATTGATAATCGAGAGAAAATTTAATCCATAGTTTGATATTTCAAGTGATATATATACTAAACCCACTCTCTTTGAAAACAGTATTTCTTTGTTTATTTTATTTATTTATTTATTTGAACAAAGAGATATTGGGTATAAGGGGGCACCAGATACATAAATCTCAATAGATTTGTGTGAGGGCTGTGATACTGTTTGGGTGCCCAAACCGAAGTAGGTATATTTCCGTGTGAAAACATGGTCCCATAATAAATTGTGTTAGATTATACATTATTTTCTATATAAATCTATGAAAAGACTATCGTGTGTTTGACAGAATTATGAAAGTATTTACTATGACTATTTGTAAACCTCTTGAATTTATGATAAATACAATTATATATATATATATATATATATATATATATATATATATGAAATCTAATAAGCGAGCAGTCACTACTACTCATTATATAATCACAAATATAATCCATCTACTTTTTTTCTATCCACTGAGATGATAAGATTAGAAATGGAATTCTATGAAGTAAAAATGAAAGTAGAAAATCTTTACAATATACTATCACCTTATACTATTCAATGTTGAACAAGTAAAACAAACCATATATCTATATCATACGATATTATACAATTAAAATGTAAACTAAAAAGAATTTATTACAATATTATTCATTATAACTACTATTACGAGAATGTATTTTACGTGATTATTTTGTTTATAAATAATTAAATAGATTAGACATTTAAACCACATAATTCAGACGAAATTATTGGAAAAAAAGTTTTCTTTCTCTTAATTGTAATATTAAACGGGTGCTTCATTATCTCTTAATTTATAGTCTAATATAATGGATAAAAATCAATGTTGTAGATTAATGTTTAGTAAATTCAGTACACTTGAAAGTATAACCAATTAGTTATCTGAGGTATAATGAAAAAGCAATTCACAAATTGTGGTCAGTCAGTCAGTAACAGCTTAGAACTTCGTGCGTACGTGCATTAGTTGGAGTTACCATATCACATTAGCACAGAGATACAATTGTCGACTCAAATTCCGTAGTGGTAGAGGTAGTAAGAGTATAAGCAGTAATTGGAAAGATTAGAGTTTGAAGATGTTATTCAAGGAGTATAATACAGTGAAATAAATTTGGAGAAAGGTAAGTAAAGCAGTTACTACTGTAAAACACAATAATAGGCAGGAGGAATGTATTTATTGTTAGAAGTTACTAAGTATTTATATAGTACATCGTACATAGACTTTAATCTATCATTTTTAACTTTCGGTGTGTTCTGTCATTTGAATTTCACTCTTGTCTGGTCCTCAAAGTGTTATGCTAACGTCGTGCTTTCGATACATTGAAACTCTTCACTTTGTCTGATAATTGTAGCAACTTTGACATCACGTTCCGCTACACGCTACTTACAAACAATTCTGTGAGTAGCGCCCACTACATTATTACAACGCCATCCACATTCATATCACAAAAGGAAACACTTAATGTTAAAGTAGAACCTCGTAAACTGTGCATCAGATCGAATCGCCATATCACATTATCATAGCGAGACACATAAATAGTGAATGAGTAGAAACAATAGTAGTATCGAAAATAATATAAACAGATAAACATTGGGTGTATGGTTCGAGAAGTCAACATAAATCAGTCGTTGAATATAGTTGCTAGTAATAATCAAAGTCAACCAATCAAGAAATAACATAAAAGAAATCAAGATTACAGGGTACTACTATCCTCATGCAAGGAAAATTATAATCTACATTTAAAAGATGCATATATAAACATACCTGTAAAGAAATTGCTAAATTAACTCGACAACCGAATGAAGTGCTTACAGCACGTCCTGTTAAACCCAGACTGGAAAACAACTTAGTGAACATGGAAGTCAAATGAATCCGAGGACGTTCTTCAGCTACAACAACTAAACTTCGGATACTTGATAAACTTATTTCACGTTGCTATAAAAAAAACAAGTTGAAAATTAAGATAAAGACGAATTAAATTTGAGACAATTTTCAAAATATTCTTAAAATAGACGAATTGTTGACTAGGAGTGAAAGTGAGGACGCTCGTTTTGTACTATTTAGGATACGTCTGCTGGATTTATCTGCATTAGTGTCAATGTTTACATTTGGATCCAAGCCTAGCACCTTTCACTCCATACAGTAACGCGTTATCTACTGAACTGTTAAGTCAAGACAGGCACTAACATTGTTGACAGGTAGCATGTTTGAGTTAGGGTTCGGAATTAGCTACAATTCATTTATCCTTAAAAATGTACGAAAAAGTACCTATACTGAAATGATTCGCACAGGACGCACACGCTAACAAAGACAAAAAATTCAAATAACGAAAGAGCCTCATTGTTTCGTTGAAGCAGAATGAGGGTGATCCAACGAACAATTTCCGCTCATGATCTGATTCAACACTATTCTATTTTACTATTTCCATTATTTTAGCAAATAAAATTAACTATAAATACGATTGTACAGATTAAGTAAGTGAAATCATTGAGAAACGTTTCTTCTCTGGATTCACTTAATTCATCTTTAAAAAAATCCAGCTCTGAATATTAACAACAAGATAATTTAGATCCTTACAGTTAATAGCCTTGCAAATACCAACAATTAGTATGACACCGTAGCTAACATAACTAAAACCAACCAACTCAGTAAACAAGCGCACACAGTCATCAATTACAACTTCAGCTACGCAGTTGTAAATGTAAAGGCTATCCATGTGCCTGGAACCAAAGTAGGGATTGTGTGTATTTGACCTACAATTGACTGACTGAAAGTCAACTATCGTAATTACTTCACTTCTAAAGTTCTGATTAACGATTCAAAAGTGTATGTGGATCGATGGTAAAATGATGCTAAACTATAATGAGTGGTTATTACATGATATCCGGCAAAATCGATGATAACTGTCAATAGGAATACAGCATAACTAGAAACTAGAAAATCTCTAAAAATCAAATAAATGGGAAAGAGAAATAATTAAACTATTTAATATATGACAAGTGTTCACTTCAATATAGTTATAATAACTAGTTTGATCATGTGAATAGAATCATGTCTATAATTTTAGATATCTAGACATGATTGATTGAATCAATAATCTGTTAATTTTTATAGCTTCTTGAACTATGCAGGTTACCGAAATTCAAGATCAATTTGATGATTATCTTGTTGGAATCAATTTATGGTGAAAAAAAAACTATAATATTTCGAAGATAATCCAAAGGACGAAAATTACTAACCACCGGAAAATAGAAAAATGTCAAGAAACGTATACACCACTAACCCAATCGGTCATACCCGACGTAGAATCTGGCATGTGTATATACATCAGTTTAACTTGCCACAATGCATTAGCAGAGTGGGATAAATTGTCAAAACAAATCTCACGCTAATACAAGTAGAAATGGTATTAATAGTGATAGAAAAGCCTGGACATCCAAGATACAATTTGATATGAAAATATCGATTAGTGGAATAAAAATATTTTTGTAAAGTAATTTGGAAACGTTTCATTGAATGGAAGACAAAGAATGGATATACCTGCACCACTGCGAACGACTCAGAGCCATGTAATCCAAAGCCACTAACCATTGGTTACGATAATGATGCAGATCCCAACCACCTAGTCTACAACTACTTAAATGGTACGGTTAGTGTCTTCATGAACTGGCATGGTTTGGTCGTCTATAACTTTCTTCCAACCTATCCTAACACCAACCATCATTGAGTGTATAGGTAACTGATGGAGGGTTCTAACCACATTAGTCGATAAAGATCTGTTGCCTCGTCAATCGATTTGCCATACTTATACCTAATACTCTGCGTCTAACTTCAGAATTGCTAACTCCTTGGTCCCAAATTATATAAACCGTTATTTCACCTCATAAAGAAAACACGTTAGAAGAAAGCAATACAACAAAAATGTATACTGCTGTGCATTAACAAGACTATTCTAAAAAATCAGTGATTCAACGAAAAAACGACATAGGACCAAGATAGCCTGCTTGAATATCTGGGTTACTTATTCCTGCCATCTGGATATTTCAACAAGTTAGCTGTTTTCTTGTTTGTTTCAACCCACCATTATGTCTGTTAGTCTCATAACCTATTCACGTGTCTTTATGAAAAGTTTACAACATTTCGCTGTATAAGTTACAAAAGGGCCCAATTGGAGATATCGCAGTTGCTGGCAATATCCAACAAAAAGAATACACATTATTCAGATGTCGATTCCTGGACTACTAGCATTTAACTGGAGACCACTCAATATTTATCGCAATGGTCGATCAGGAAATAAGAAAAGTAAACTTAATGAAGTACTTTGTGCTGAGAATTCTATATTGTACCAAAAATATAATTTTGAATAAAGCCAATAATAATAGTAATAGATGTAGCCCATTGTAATTAGGGAAATGTGATTGTTTCAAAATAGAAGAATTTAACAATTCGATGAATAAAACCTCTATTGTCAACAATCAACGAGTAGAATGCTTATTGATAGACCAAATGCACTGATATGATGTGATCGGTGATGGTTACTCCTAAAAACGAATTAATGACATAAACCCATGACCGATTTCAAATCAAAAGCAAAATCGCTAGCCGTAATGAAATAAAACGCTTATGTACAAAATATTAGCACGAAACAAGCATGAAAAAATTTTATATTTCAAAGGAGGTCATTAATTTATTGGTCCAATCAATTAAAATCTGAGCGTTAGGCTTAATAATTTCGTCAGTCATATCAGTCATCAAAACATATTGTAAAACGGTACAAATCATCTGAATGCATACATATACAAATCAGTCAACAAATTTATTCGTCAAATAAAAAAGAAATGAGTAAGTCCCGTCGAGAAAGATAATATCAAGTCATTATTCATTAAATTGGACAAAATATGCACATAAACTTCAATAATCTAATCAATTTATGTAATAAACCAACTAATTAGCTGAAAAGTCTATTTTTTGTCAATGTTGAACACAAGTGGTAAATAAATAAAACCAGGTTTATTTAACTAACCTTTAAAATAGACATTTGTTTAGTCAAGTAACGTGTAGCTAATTCCATAGTGTAATGTGAACAAAATGCATCACGAACTAGAGAAATAGATAGACGGAGAGATAGTTAACTAAATGAGAGCAAATACAAGATAGAATAAACAGCTTAACAAATTCAATAAAAAAACATATAATGTTCTTTACAAACTGAATGACTGAGGACTAAGCTTTGAACCGGTAACATTATTCGATTGTGGAAATCGAAGTAAATGTAGTTGTGGAGCTCAAATGTGTAGTTAATTGGTTGGAAATTGAATATATTCAAGACTGAGATAGTGATTTTCTTCAAAATAGTAACAGTTACCACTAGAATTAACTGAATATTGAAAAAGACGTAAAACTATGTAATAACCTTTTCTTACGACTACTGCCGAATGAACCTTTTATGATAAATTCCATAATACAAAGTGATTTAGTTTTATCAGCAAGCTTATTTGTCCTTCCTTAACGTCTAAAAAATCACTTTGAACATCAACACATAGGTAATAACAAGGTTAATACAAATTTGTCTTGCTGACAACCGAAAATAGACATAGGACATAGATTGGAAATTAAGTACACGGCACTAAGTGATGAGGGCTGGATTACTCGCAGGTACATGAATTGAGCTTGACATTAACGAAGTAGTCTACGTGGGATTTATATTTGAAACATTGTTTTTTATTCTAACAAGTGAATTCAGTTAAAGTGATTAATAATTCAAGGAAAAAAACACATGTCCAAGTAATATCAAATAAGAAAGTGACAAATGAGTGTATTATTAATCAATACTGCATTCCGATAATAAACAAACATTCCAAAATAGAAGTCACTAACTAACATGAATCCGGTGGATCATCTACCACAGGTGTAAATAAGAAAGGTGTAATCTAGCCCATAATTATAATTAGACATTTAATAGATTCATCCAACAAATTAGTGAGCTGTCATTAATACAGATAACATTTCTGAACAAAAAAATAAAAACTTAGGAATATAAGCAACGGAAAACTTGGGACATATGTGCATCAGTTCACACTGATACGTAACAATTAGTACAGTGAGATAAAAGTATCTGTTATCATAATATTTGAAGAGTAAAGGAAATACAGAAAATGAGATAGAAAAAATCACCTTTTCTTTGACTACATATAGTAAGCCATAAATCAGGTACTATTTCTGTAACACTTGGAGGTATCAATACTGAATGATGTCCACAGTAAACAGATGTTAATGCCCATAAAGTGAATCCAAGACCAGAATATGGATCAAGACTCAATACAACTTCACGAGTTGGATAAAATTCACACTGAATTTTTTGAGCTCGACATAACGCATAAACGACTTGATGCGTTACACGAATTCCAGTCAGTGTACCTGAGAACAGAAAAAAAATATAGTAAGATGAGATATATTTTATAAGAATGTAAAATCATTGAACAATAACATTGGAAAATAATCATTTTGTTTAATGTATATATTGGATGCCTCCTTGTACCAATAGTTATGAATAATGAAAAGAGGCACTCAAACACAGTTAGTTAACACGTTGAATAAAAAATTAATCTTTTATAAATATACCGTTTCATTCACACAAAAAAAAGATGTAAATGGGTTGATAGATATTTATAAAGATAGAATTACAGATAATGATTTATAGTTCTAAATGGTTCATAAACTAAAAACACATGAAAATGTAGACGAAAATAGAAGATATCGTGAAATGATGAATAAATAGTTACAAATAATAAATAAATAAATCAAAATTATTGAAATTAACTTCGGTTCATGAAATCCAACCAAAGATTATTCCGTATATGAGTGATATATTTTAACCCATCATATATCCAAACGCTCATTAAGGATGTCACAATGGTTAAAAATAGTGTTGATTCAAAGATAATGCCTCGTGATTATTCACATGAGGGCGGCCTGCTTGAGCATCTGGGCTACCTGTTTCTGCCATCTAGATATTTCAACAAGTTATCTATTTTTGGTTGTTTTAATATATCATTATGTTTATTAATCGCATAACCTATTCAGCTGCCTTTCTGAAAAGTGTACAACCTTTAGTTGTCAAAGTTACAAAAAACTCAATAAGAGACAATGTGGTTGCTGGCAATATACAACGGAAAGAATGCACATTATTTAGATGTTCATTTAGTGAACTGCTAACATCTAACTGGCGATCACTCGATATTTATCGCCAGGACCGACCAAGAAGAAAGAAACGGAAACTTGTCGAAATACTTTACGCTGAGAATTCTATATTGTACCAAAAATATAATATTGAATAAAGCTGATAATAATAATAATAATAATAATAATAATAATAATAATAATATATAATAATCTTGTTGAACTAAACCAGTCAGTCTTTTTGTTTATTATAGAACAAATGCCTTTACCTTATTCAGAATGTCAAATTCACAAATGAAACTATACCATACTTCAAATTACCGTAACAAGAAAGTTTATACCAATGGAAAATACTTTGGAAATGTATCCAATCTTATTGAACAGCCCGTTCAGCACAGTAAACAATGAATCAGTGGAAAATTTCAGAACAATAGGTATATTATGTTAATTATTCGTGGGTACCGGAAACCAAGGAATAATCAAACTAAAATCAACACACACAGACCTTCCTACAGCTGTTCGTTCACCAACGATCGAAGAAAATAGGATGGCCATCAGACAAATCAAGAGTGGGGGAGAAGCAGAACCTGACAACATATCAGCTGAATCACTGAAGTCAGATACAGAAGTAACTTCATGGGTGCGTCATGTTTTGTTCAGGAAGATTTGAGGGGAAGAACAAACGCTGACAGACTGGAAAGAAGGATGCCTCACCAAAATACCAAAGGAAGATCTGAGCAAGTATGAGAACTACAGTGGAATCACACTACTATCGGTATCAGGGAACGATTTCAACAAGTGTTCCTAAACAGGATGAAGGATTAAGTTGATATCCAGATCAACAGGCCGGATTCTATAAGGATCAGTCATATACGGACCAAATCGCGACACTACGTATTATTGTTTGGCCGTAGACTGAGACGATTGGGTCACTCGCTACGTATGTCTAAACACCGATTACCATGATACGTAATGCTGATTAGCGTCGAACATGGATGGAAGAAAGTTAGAGGCGGCCAAACTATAAAGTTACCTGAGCCATGTTAATAGATGCAGACTACTTGGTTGCGGTCCGCGCGACTACCGTAACCAATGGTTGGAGACTGGGTGACATGGCTCAGAATCGATCAAAATGCCGTAGGTGTATACACACTTTGTCATCCCTTAAACCGTGATTAAAATTACTTCTCACTGTATCATTTTCTCACATGCAATTGTTTTTTTTTTACAAATTACTACCATTGAAGTAACTGCTTCTATGAGTTTAGTGTTCATCTTGTTGTGCTAATGAGGTGTGATAACTTGGACAGATGCGTATATGTACCTGGTCCTACGTTGAAGATGACTAACTGATTACTGGGCAATCAATTGAATGGAACGCATCACTACATCAACTCTCCTACGGTAGGCTGCTGCTGACTGTGTCCGACCACGACATTGAATATCTTGCGTAGACAATCGCTTATAAATACTTGTACTTTTTTGATTATGGTTTTCGCAGTTCTCTAAGTTTCAGTTCCATTCAGTAGAACTGTTCGTATTGAAGATTCTGATTTTGATATTGGTTGACAGTTGTTTTGAGAAACCAGTGTAGCAGAAGCCTTTGCATCAGTAGGCCTCAACATACACAGGAGAAAAACCAAGATCATCAAATAGAACACAGGGAGCACCGACCCTATCACACTTGATGGAGGAACTCTGGAAGCGGTAGAAACCTTCACGTACCTGGCCAGCACCATCGATGAACAAGGAGGATCCAATGAAGACGTAAAGTCAAGGACTGGTATAGCAGGGGAAGCATTTCTACAGTTAAAGAACTCAAAACAACTGTCAACCAATATCAAAATCAGAATCTTCAATACGAACAGTTCTACTGAATGGAACTGAAACTTAGAGAACTGCGAAAACCATAATCAAAAAAGTACAAGTATTTATAAGCGATTGTCTACGCAAGAAATTCAATGTCCGTTGGTCGGACACAATCAGCAACAACCTACCGTAGGAGAGCACAAACCAACTTCCAGCTGAAGAGGAAATTAAGAAAAGAATTTGGAAGTGGACAGGATATGCATTCCAGAAATCACTAAACTGCATCACGAGACAAGCCCTAACTTGGAATCCTAAAGGGGAGCGAAAAAGAGGGAGGCCAAAGAACACATTACGTCTGGAAATAGAAGCAGATAGGAGACGAATGAATAACAACTGGTAAGGATTGTCCAGGACAGAATCGGATAGAGAGTGCTAGTGGGTGGCCTATACTCCTCCACGAGGAGTAACAGGCGTATGGAAGCAATAATTAGCTAGTTTAACATTCCATAGTGTGATCAAAGTCTTTCGTCTGTTATTACATTATTGGTTGAAGTTTTTTTCAATACAATGGAGTGATGATACATCACACTAAGGAACTGTTCTAATATCCATACAAATTTAGCTTTCAAAGTTATTTATAGGATTTCAATGAAATTATCGCATAGACTTTATCTTTTGCACACAGCAGAAACAATAAGTATACATATCAAACAAGCTAATCTTTGTATACAAAACAAAGTTTGTTTATCCTCTTAACTTACCATGATCTTCCATACGGTCACGACATTTCTCAAAAATTTTCAATGCTATTTTAGCTTTAATTAATAACTTCATTCCATACTATCCAACTATGTTAATAATCTGATCACTGAACCAATTCTTTAATTACTATTCAGTTAATTTATTCCAAAATTTCTTAATTCTGATTCATTACATAATGAGTTTCTCTCTTTTCTTCTTCTTTATTTATTTATTTTTAAAAAAAATAATAATTAACTGAATACATTACCCTACCTTTCAATTTATCTCATCTATTCACATATGTTTATCTTTTAACTAATTACAATTTGAGTGGAAAGAAAAACATTGTGAAGCTAATCAACCATCATTTATTTAATATTGATTTAGTGTAGAGCATTCATTGATAAGGAAATGAACTGATTGTATTATATATATATATATATATATTAATATATATATATATCTTCATTCATATATTGTTTTTCACTTTAATAATTAACATTAATTTAAATAATGTATCCAATATAAAGATAGTAAACTGTGTGCTATATACGATTAGAAATGTAATTATTTCGTAGTAACTAGTTGGGTTTTTTTTCATTTTTAAGGTCATGAAGTCACTTGTGAAAAAAAACCCAACTAACACTAATGTCAATAGTTGAAATCGTGAGTCAATTGAAGCTACACCACCATGGAAAACCTGGAAGCACTGGACGGCCGTTTCGTCGTAGTACGAGACTCCTTGGTAGTGCGTATCCACGATCCCGCCCCTCGCGAGATTCGAAGCCAGGACCTATGAGTCTCGCGCGCGAGCGCCATGACCAGCGGAGTTTACCTAGGTCTGTTGTGAGATATCAGCTCACTGAAGACAATGGTTTACGGTGGCGCAATTTCGTGGGTTAGTTGAAGTTAGACATTATTACCGTTGAATGCTGGCTCAGTGGTCTAGAGGTCAAGCGCTCGCGAAACTGATAGGTCCTGGATTCGAATCTCACTAGGCGGGGTCGTGGATTCGCACTGCTGAGGAGTCCCATACTAGGGCGAAACGCCCGTCCAGTGCTTCCAGGTCCTCCATGTTGATCTAGATTTAATTGACTCATGATTTCAACTATTAAAATTACTAAAATCTTCACAAACCCCTTCTGATAACACTAATGAATCAAACTTTGAAAGAATGTCAAAAATACAATAAGAAACGTATGTGAAATTGATTCAACGTTCCACCATTGATTGAAATTTTAGACATGTAATTACGTTTTTTTTTCTTAAAGAATAATGCAAATATCATGTAAATGGCTATAAAAAAACTCGTTGAGGCTGAATTACTTTCAATATTAGTGAATCGTTAGACAAAAGAGAAAACACAACCTAGGAGAAGACTTCCTAACTGCCCAACTTTCATCATATTTAAGTATTCAAATTATAGAACATACATATTATTATGGGTTAAATGACTCACTATTTCATTCAAGCAAATAATACAATTATATGGATGAAAACAATTGCTTTATTCGAGACTAAAAATTTTTGCTATTTTAGATTATGTCCGAAAAAAATAAAACAAAAGTAGAATATGCTCTACAACAGCACATGTCATGAGAATTTCGGATTTCGTACCCTATATTAATTTAACTAGTAAGTGTAAGATGGTCTAGTTTAGTGTTTACAAAGATTAACCACTGAGCAGTAACCAACAGTACATAAACATCTTATCAAATTGTAAAGTAGCCACAATAGTCTAGGTGATTCAGCACTATGTGTAGATGTTCAATGTTTAGATGTATTAAGAAGTAAACCCTGAACTGCGGTTTCATATTGGTCAAAGTGTACCTGAAATGATTGACATATACCGATGCCACCCAGTGATATTAAATTCACATTACAATCAGCAGTTATAATGAAAGCAGATAAGGTAAATGATAAATAAACATGAGCTAAAGATATAACCATCAAAGAATATATTTGACCGAGATCCGCAGTACAGATGGAGAGTTAATACAATGAAATAGGCGGTCAATAATATGAGAACTGACCATATGGAAAATGAAATACTCACAGTGTGATGCATGCTACTTACGTCTGTCGAAATAAGTAGCATGTAACACAAATCAAAAGAGTAATGCATGGCAGCAGAAGACTATGAAGGTTGACTTGAAGAAAACAGAAACTGAAATAAAAAGGAATTGTGACTTGGAAGAATCATACACAATGTGAAGGACAAATGATGGAATTTTGTAAATGAAGTGTCCAATGTATGGTTTTCATATTTTACCAAGAGATTCTGTAATTTTGCATTCAAACACATTGGTTGTCCCACCTGTATTCTCGTTCACTACAATAAGTGCATGTATTTTTTTAAAAAATAATTTATATCTGATGTATAAAACATACAATTTATAGTTCACTAGACAAATTTGCTCGTAACTTTTACACAAACTAATTAAAAATTAATAAGACATACCAGTTGTTGACGCTGCAAAATCCAAATAAGCAATTGGTTGATCTAAACAAGGTGCTTGTATTGTGAAATTCGATTTCCGTCTATTGTATTCTTCAGAGTCAAGTATTATTGGCCAATGATTAAACGGAATACGATTAGTAGCCTCCTAAAAATTCATGATAAACAAATTGCGAAAACCAAGTCGATTGTTAAGATTATCTGAAATTTTTATTTAAAAAGTCTTATGAGTGTGGTTTAAATGAACAGAAATTTTTTCAGATCGACTTAGAAACCACTTTCCATATGAGAAACACTATCTGGATTTATAGTAAATTCATATCCCGATGCAAATAGATGAATCTATGATGTGTGATGATGAAAGTAAATGTGAATGGTCACTGAGTATGGACAAACAGGCATACAGCTAATCGATAATTCAATATGATTTCCTCCCCTGTTATTGATTTTTACTTAGGATCCACTTACAGTAAACTGCTTGTAATTAGGTGGCAAAAGTATTGTCTACCATTTGGTTCGGTTTTTAATTCTTCATCGTGAATCATGTATTTGAAATAACATTATCCAGTCTCCGTATTATGTACCGTTTAGGGTGCCAAGCAAATGGTGTTAAAGACGCGCCAACGTAAACTAGTCGTGCGGTAAGTCTGAAATTTACGTTACAAACATACGGTATCTAATACAAAGTATTTAGATATTAATGAATCCTATTATACAACACACATATAGGATTAGGATTACCACTTATATCAAAATGAATCGACTATCAAAAACACGAGCCCGGAAAAGCCCTAATCCTTCGGATATTAACAACTCTGTTATTACCTATACCCCACACCCAGTAACTCCTTTCGAATCAGATAATGTTAGGCGTGGACCTACACCATACATGCTGGTAGATGACTCAGTCATAATAACCAGTTCTACATCATGATCAATAATCATAGATAATAGTAAGAGTGAATTAGACAATATGTGCATAAGCAATTAGGCAATATGCCTTCTAAAGTGAAGCCATTTGAGGGCTCTTTATCAAAGCATGATTATCTTAAGCAAGAACTAAAGGCATTATCACTTCTTAAACTTCTAGCGTCGAAGTATGTGGTTCCTGTGAAACTTGAAGACATTACAAAAGTAGTCTGTTATCGATTTTATCGCTAGCAAAGTTACTACGCCAATGATTTGTCGAAATAACGTGCTTATCTATTACATACCTGACAAAATCGAACTTAAATCTGTGAAGAATTAAATATTTAAATCAGCAGAAGATAGTCCATGTCAATGTATTCGCCTTAATTAAAAGTACAAGGAGTTCACGTGCCCCATCTCGTTTAGATTCTATTCACATTTTTTGGCTGAACAGCTGAAGGAATCTGAACGGTTAATATGCGCGCTTACGAAGTTTAGGAACTCTCGTAGTCTCACATAATACCAACAATCAAAGGCTTACTCAAAAGTATATCATAAACGAAAATAACAATGTTGAGACTACAACAAATCCCATCGCCTCAGTAGCAGGACCCACCTATCACATATCTGCAGCAAGTGTGATGTAGACCCACTCCTAACATTATCTGATTCGAAAGGAGTTACTGGGTGTGGGGTATAGGTAATAACAGAGTTGTTAATGTCCGAAGGATTAGGGCTTTTCCGGGCTCGTGTTTTTGATAGTCGATTCATTTTGATATAAGTGGTAATCCTAATCCTATATGTGTGTTGTATAATAGGATTCATTAATATCTAAATACTTTGTATTAGATACCGTATGTTTGTAACGTAAAGCTCATTATTATTACTATACTTTTATACTAACATAGTATATTGCAGAGAGAGAAATATTGTAAATCATGCGTTTAATTCATCTAGAAGTGGAAAACTAAATCATAGGTCATAACTACATAGAAAAAACCAGCTTTAATCGCATTTAATACGACAACAAAGGTAAACTTTATCCTTAGTTTGTTTTCATTTTCAGTTTGGTCTGAAAATTTAAAGTAGATTTATTATCCAAGTAGAACCGTAAACTAAAAGGCCAGTGATTGAAAATCTGGCAACTAGTAAATTAACTGTCCCACATCCATATAAATACTGTTAATGGATACATTTTGAATACATAATACTGTGGCATTTAGCTTTTATTTAACTGACGTACGAAATTAATAAACAAAACTGTAAAACGATGAATTCTGTTTCTTTTTGTACAGAAAAATAAATTACGTGACTGAGTCGCGTATGTGAACTGTTAGTCAGAATAAAATTTAAAACGACGAAACTTCCAAAGAATCATCTTTAATCATTCATAATGAACAATAATAAAAGCATAACATTTTAAAATGATACCATTAACCAATGAATATTAGACAATACTATATGCACTGACCTTAGATTTCAATAGTTTAATCAAATTGTTTTGCGTGAAAATAACTGTTGCTCCTGAGTGCTTTACAACATTCCAAATTAAATCCAATGAAGTGTCTAAACTAGGAGTGTTCGGCCGAAAGTATACATTGGGAAAGCTTCCAGTACCAGAAGACAATTGACCAGCACTACCACTAACCGTGAATTCCCATTATGACCACCACCACCTCCTAAACCTAATAAACTTATACCGGATGATGATCCTGAACCAGGTGGTCCAGATAACAGTCCATGGGACCAGAACTAATTGTAGCACTAACAGAGCTACCACCACCAGGAGCGGAAGAATCTGTTCGAGGCGGGCGTACCGGTACAGGAATGGCACCAATTAGAAGACAAGCGTAAAATGCACAAACAAGCTCAGTGCCTGTGGAAGTATAAAAGAAGAAAAAAGAAAAGATGCATAGGAACATGATACACTGCTAATACATTATTCAACATAAATGATAATAAACACTAATTCATTACTGAACTGCATTGTTCGCAATACAATGAATGATTATCTGCAACGCGTTTTTTATACATAAAATTAACTTTAAGGAAAACAAACAAATGGGAACATTCGAAATGTGGTAATAACTATGAAAGAAAAAGTATCAGAATGAAATGGATTTGTAGCAAACGACTTATTATAGTACTGCTCCCGAAATAAATGAGTTCCTAATCACAAGTAACAACATGTATGTTGATTTAGAAACATTTTAAACTACGAAGAAAATATAAGTCAACGTGATGAAATGTTGATCAATGTTATTGTCTGCTTATTAATGATTCGTCAAAATCACAGTTTTAAAATATATACTTATATAGTACAATAAGAAGACGGAGTTTATCAGTATCCTTGTCTGTAAAAATGAGCCTAATACATTTCCGGAAGTCTGATCACATAGTAATTATTACGATAGTTATGAAGAATGAAAATGAGAAAGAAAGAAAACATTTAATATGTTCACATGAATAACAAAGGAAAAATTAATAAAATTAAACTATACTGATAGCATTGGAAGACATAGAATCGGGCAATCACAGTGAATTTAGGCTTGATTTTCAAGAAGGGATTGCGAATACACAATTGCCGGATAAATTTCATGACAAGATTTCGCATTTTGACTAATTTCCATGACGGCATTATTAAAGATTATCAACAGAATCATGAATTACTGAGAAAAAGCATGTCATAAAATTGTAGTCTGGAAATGGAATACAGAAAAGGCGCAGAGTCCATGAATGAGGCTATTTTAGGATTTCTAAAGTTAGGAGTGTGAGGTGTACGGTGTTAAAGGTTGGGACTGTTACGCATTGGATAAAAGATTGAAGACGGTAGCATTTTAAAACTCTACGTTCTATGTAATTCTGTCAGTTTCCCGTGAAATCCATTTCATTCACAAAAACTGCATTCCGATTAGGTGAAGATTGGTGAGTGACCTCAAGATTGCTCTTAGAATTCCCTAAGTTCGTCAGTATAGTCTGACTCTAGTAAAATCAATATTATCAAAAAAGGCTAGGTCTACATAGAAATATTTTAGCAAACATTTGAATGTCTGCTTAGTTTTAGATTTACCGATTTTAAGTCTTTATTCGTGATCATATATTATACGCTACGTTATAAAAATTGCGTTTTTTCTTTTGGTAGGTCAATTGAATCGTTGGTCGATGAAAAATATAGTTTACAATGAATGAAAAATTATATATGTCATATGAGTTTGTTTGTGCCGACATTCGATATTTAGCATGATACTGATAATGTTACTCGTTCTATTGATTTATTTTGACCCGTTTTTTAAATTCATGTTATGATACTAATAAATTAAACAACGTGATCAGACTATGAGAAAAATAGTGAATTGATGGTTTGTTGATAAAATTCATCTCTACATCATCTTATATTAAGGTTTATTCAAAAAGGGAAAACTACTTTTCCAACAAAAAAATGTTATTTCTTAACTACATTTAATCATATACGAATATTCGTCAATATTTGAGTGAATCGTTTGACAGAAATTAAGATCATATTATCTTAATTCAAAATCTGAATGTAATTGGATTGTAAAACATTATATATATGGTCTTTGATAATTTTCAATTTGATTATTATCATGAAGAGGTTCAGACAAGTATGATGAACGGAATTTTGGAATTATCTGAATCCCGATAGTCGAGATTATTCCCAAATACGATATTTACAAATAATACATCTAATCTTATCATCATAAAATTTGAATGTATCATATAAATGATACTTTAATTCTTGAAATTCTGACCTTGTTTATAAGCATAAAACATTATAACAGTTTTTTTTTCATCTGACTACAATTACTTCAAATTCTAATTAATTATGTATATTTTCCTAGACTGATCATATTATGTAATGAGATATAAGGTGGGTACCTAGCCTGTCGTAAGCCCTGATGGTGTTCTCGTGACTTTCGAGCTGCCTGATCTGCCAAGGGCGATGGGACAGTGTATCATGCTACAGTTGTGTGCTAGGTTCAAAGAGAATTTTATGCTATATGCATGCGAATCCGCCCCGTTATTGTCCCTATTTCTGCCCCAAATGCCCTGGTATGGCCGAGAATGGGGTGGGCTCGCCCCCCTCCCGAAATACTCTCACATGGCCACGCGTATATAGCCTCTGCCAGGGAAGTCCTACTCATTGCCTTCTCGTAGCGTAGGTGTTGTTTACAAAAATGAGAGGACGAAAAGCGAATGTCTGGCACTTTAACCGGATTCCAAACCAATGGTACACATGGACTCCCGTATCCTATGGGAACAAATGGAGTATGAACCAATTGGTCACCGGCTACCACGGGACTGCATCTCCTCACGGTGCTTCAATGCCTTGTGGGTTAGACCTTTAGGTCAAAGGCTCGGGGCGTGACCCCCTAAGAAAACCACCTGCTTCGGTCTGGGCACCCGAGCAGTATCACAGCCCACGCACAATTATGATGAACTATCTATATTTATAAAAAATATTATTCTTGCTGCGATTAACAATCAAATGATTCACATTATTATTATTATTATTATTATTATTATTATTATTATTATTATTATTATTATTATTATCATTTACTACGTCATTTATTCCCTCTCTGTGAATACTTGTTTTTCGACTTAGACAGCAGCTCGCCTATGGTGGAAATTCGGCTCTATCTAAACATTAACGAGTCACTGCCTGGTTGGAAATTGTATGCCACCAATACATACGAATACTGAAGCAGTTTTTCTGAAACCACGTGCACCATTCAAACTGGCTGCCTTCAACGTTCGCACATTTATGCAGGTCGGACAACAGATAGGGCTGGCTATGTCTTTGGAAAGTCTTAATATCGATGTCTGCTGTCTATCCGAGACCCGTATTCAAGACTCTGGCGAAGTACTACAAATTCGATCTACATCTGTCACTTCGAAAAGCTTGTTTTACGTGCGCTTATCCGGGGACCCTGTGGCATCTTCGTCTGGTCTTGCTGGCGTTGGTGTCGCACTAAGCGCTAGAGCTGAGGCAGCACTAGTCGATTGGATCCCCATTAACAGTCGGTTATGTGCTGTTAGATTAGAAAGTTCCATCAAAGTGAGAAGAAATCGGCGTGAGAAACGATGTCTTTTCGTCATCTCCGCCTATGCCCCGACAGATTGCAGCCCGGATGCAATCAAGGATGAGTTTTACCACCAGTTATCTGTTCTTCTCCAGAAAGTGCGTTCGACAGATATTGTAGTACTAGCCGGAGACTTGAATGCTCAGGTCGGGCGTCTAGGCACAGAAGAGAGTCGTTTAGGTGGCCGATGGGGACTCGTTGGTCGCAGGTCAGATAACGGGGACCGTCTACTGCAACTTTGCACAGACCACAACCTGTTTCTGGCTAGCACTAACTTTCGGCACAGTCATCGCCGATGTGCCACCTGGCGTCCTCCCTCTGCATCTCAAGCCTGGACTCAGATTGATCACATCGCGATCAGCTACCGCTGGCGTGGTTGTGTACAAGACTGCCGCTCCTTTTGGAGTACCTATCTGGACTCTGACCATGCCTTGGTCTGCGCCAATCTTGCCTTACTTTTCAGTGGCCAACGAAGTGACCACCACCAAAAGATTGATGTTAGCAAGCTGGTTGCAACTTCTGTGGACGGTGACGACTGATCCACCAAATGAGGCGGAAGTCCGCAAGGAACTCCAACTCCTGAATCTCTACGAACCACTGGGCCCAGATGACTTACCTCTGGCTCTTTTTAAAGATTCTGGTGACTTTCTGACTAAGGAATTGACGACGTTGTTTACAAAGGTCTAGGAACTAGAGAGTGTACCAACGTCATGGAATGAGTCGATAGTTGTCCCCATCTTTAAAAGGGTTCACGTCGTTCCTGTAACAACTATCGTTAGATAAGTCTACTTTCGATTGCGTCCAAGCTATTGGCTTCCGTCATACTTCGTAGGTTGTTCAAAACCCGAGAAAAATAGACTCGCGAGGAGCAGGATGTTAGACGACTCTCTGTGTTCGATCATCGTTGTCTCTGAAGGATTGCTAACATCCAGTGGCAACACTGTGTTAGTAATCCAGAGGTTCGGCATCGTGTGTTCGGGCACAGAGATGATAATGCAATCGATGTCACCATTCTTGAAACACCAACTTCGGTGGCTTGGACATGTTCTACGAATGTCGTCCCAGAGAATTCCACGTCGTGCATTAATTGCCGACGCTGGGACTGGTTGGAAAAAGCGGAGAGGTGGTCAATGTATGACATGGTGTCGTGGTACGAAAGAAATAATAGGATGTGATATGACGTAGTGATCAATTTTTGTGCTTTGTGGAGTAATTTGGCGATCAAGAGAGTGGCGAGTGGATTGATTTAAGAATCGATTGTAGTATAAATCTTTCAGTGGGTTTATATGGTCCCAAGCAGTTAATACAAGATAGATGCACACAAACAGCCACATATATAATACATGGATAAAAAAACTCATAATTACTCATTTGAATAAGCAACAAAAAAATAATGAATACGATTAAACTGACATATTTGAATATCACATGGGTGTTCGATCGCATCGAAGGTTTTTACAGATATGTCAGACAAATTCATTACGGTAAAATTACAAACTTAAATGATCTTGATGAACAGTATATGGTTGCTAAAGAGTAAAAAGTTAAATCGATTATGCATTACCTAATTTCATTTAACAATAACAATAATAATAATAATAATAATAATAATTTTACTTTACATAAAATGCTAACTACAATATGGAACTCGGAGGATATATTATTTCAACAAGTTTTTAGATACTTTTCGTGGAAACTCATAACATCCAATTCACTAATTGGATTACAAAGAAGAGAACTCAACGAATAAAACTTCCTTCTCAACGGAATCGTTTACTTAAGCTGTACATTTGTTGTCATAGTTATATGATAAATATCTAAGTTCATAGAAAGATAGAAAAGATCATATCATAAAGCGATTCGAGATTTCAAATATCAAATGGAGGTTGTGAAGAGTATGAGAAAAACAGGAGGACGGAAAAAATTTACGGGTAAGAAATAGTTCGACTTGACAAAAACGAAGAAAAATGAAATTAAACCCACCTGGAGGATATAGTAACGCAACAATTGTTCCCACTTGAGCTTTACCTTTTTCTTTTAACTGAACTGCTAATCTTTCTGAACGACGTAAAAGTTGACTACAAGTAAGCGTCGAAACTTCTTGTCCTTTAGTATTATAAACAGTAAATAATCTGTCGTCTGGAGTGTGATTCGCTCTGTGAATAAGTATCTCAGTTAACAGTTGAAACTACAGAAAAAGTGAAAATAAATGTATACATAATAAGCATTCCAGTTTCAATGGATTCAAATTTCTTTACATACAACTAACTAGCTCTTTCAAACTTTATTTTAAACAACTTAGTTTGAGTGGGTTTTCGACTAATCTCCGTGTTGACATTCGAAAATAAATTTTGATTGATCTTACTTGGTGGATCTTGTGAAAATTGCATCAACATAGACATTTTTCCCACATGTTTCATAGAAAACAAAGGTGATCTCAGTTTACTAGTGTTAACAAGCAAATATTATTGTTCTGCAGACGTAAATTTCAGGCAATTATAGATAGAAATTATTTATAGGATTAGCAATTTGTGTGCAGGAATCCTTTCAAACACTGTATACCTTCTTTCGATGAAGCTGTACCTACATTTTCGTCACGTGTACAACTACGAAGCAACCGTTCATTTAGCTGAATTTCAATGTAGCGAATAAACGTATTTTAACACTAAAAATTTTGTCCAAAATCTCAACAGCTGTAACATAATAAAATAACGGAAGATAAATCTGAAGGTGTGGAAAGATAAAAACGAGAACAGTTGACACTAACAATTAGAATAGCTTACTTCACTATCAGGTGAACCAGAAGTTATATTAGAAGATGGAGATGATCCTAAAGGTCTTCCACGTGCCTCTGCAAGCCTAACTCCTTGAACAACTTGACCGACCATCATAGCAGATGGTCCAACCAAACTAGGTCTGAGTTGTCGAGGTTGGGGTAGATTTTGTATAGCAGAATGCGGACAAAGCAACAATGCTGTAGGATGCAAATGACCTTCAGAAAAAAGTCTTTTCACAGAATGACAATTTATCCCACCAAAAGGTGTCTGTAAATAACAAATAAACATAATATCAATGTTGTTGAAAACAATGAAAAAAAAATTTTCTTTATTCAATATAAGGAAAACCAGAAAATTATCCATACAAAAAATCCATATCTTAAAAATAAGCTGAAAATTTAAATGTTATATTTCAGGGAAACAACTTGGAATTGAGAAAACCGAATTACAGAAATACTGTTAAAGGGTCGCGTAACAGAATGAAACTACTAAAGTCGATCCCGAACCAAAAGCCTTCGATGAAATTATACACCCAATGTAATCAGAAGTGAATAGGAAAAATGTGTTGTAATTGTACAACACATTCTGAACACTTACTTTTCATCGAATTTCACAAACGGTCAAACGAATAGATAACTAGAGATTGAAAAGTTATTTTAAGGTTTTTTCTAGATTGTTTTAGTAATATGTTTACTTATAAAGTAATATAGTTACCTAACTTTACATAATTCTGAGACAGACTAAGATTCTAAATAAATAAGTAGTTCGATTATTCAATCCTACTTATGAGCATCGACACTACAGGGAGTCGTACACAATCCGATGTGATGCTATCTACAATATTATACTGAGACATTAGCAGAATAAAAAACTATGTTCACTCAGTAAATTTAAGCGAATATGCTTGCATACTTTCCATAAATTATAGAATTGGAATCTCCTTTCTAAGATAGGGACGTATAAATAATTTCTTTACAGAAAGAACAGGTTTAGATATATAGTGATATAACTACACAAATTTCTAAAATTTAACGAATATTCCTTTAGATAGATATAATTCCATAAAATTGAACGAACTCCTAACAATTAAATGAAATTTAATAGCTGACGAATAACTTTATGTAGAGTTCTGAGAAATAATGAATGGTTAGAGTGTGACTTCACAAAGTTAAAATGAAACTTCTACTAGACTAGTGAATCGATCGGAGTAATGATTAAAAGAATTAGTATGATCAAATTTATAAACATTCTCGAAATATTTAATTGTCAATTCTACGACACACAATAATGATTTTATTAGTTATGTTGTTCACTAGTCAAACTATTCTTACCTAATTTTTACAGATAAAAAACAAACAATTCATAAATATACTGATCGTTCGGATCCTCTTATTAATGTTTAGAACTGCGATCGATCAGTCGATTTTGGCATTATGAATTCTCCAACTACTGACTACAGACTCATTGTCATATTAGGTATGTACAGTTACAATATAGAAAAAACAACATCTAGGCAATAACAGTGTACATGTCATCAGTTATGTGCATAGTTGAATTCTGAGTTGTGAATGAAAACCATGAAGAAACAACTAAAAGTCTCAACAAAATAATTAAACTTTACAAGGAAAAAGATGTCGTCAATTAGATAGATCACGAGTAAACTATTATTGATCTATTTTGTTATTGTCAAAAAAACAAAATTCTGTTCAGTTATCAATTAACATGGGATATGAAGGGAGTGTGAAAGACGATACGAAAATCTATTCATGGCACCATTTGTATCAATAATTTTTTTCTAACAGAAACAAATTGACCTAGATAAACTTGGATGATGGATGGATAGATGAATGCACTCGTGCACTTATAAACACATATATACATGCTTTTTATCTAAGTGGAAGTACAAACACTGGTCATTCAAAAAGAAAGTGGAATTAATCAATAAAATTCAATATATAGAGGGGTGGATTGATACAGAGAGAGAGAGAAGAGACCGAGACAGTAACGGCATAATTTCTGATAGTTCATGTGAAATACAGGTAAGGGTCAATAGCGAAACAACTGACATCACGTATGAATAAGATTTTTTAAAAGGGATCAATAAATGCAGTATGACAATTCAATGAAGTGACTTAGATCTCAAACATTTCCACTAATGCGTAATTTAGTAGAAACGTACGTTATTTGATACAAAGTTCTCGACTGTATTTCAGTTGACGAAAATGTGATTTGCTTCAAAAAATTGATTTTTAACATGTCACAGGATAACCACCTAGAGGAAGCTATAGTTCTTTGCAAAATATATCGATGGTGGTTATGACAAAGTGAGACCATGTGTTGTGATTTTGCGTTGCTGTATTACGACAATAAAATAATAAAATATCAACTAAGAAGGAGAAGGATTGCCACATACGATAAGTATTAAGATGCTTGAGATTCTGAGCAATATCCTATCCTACTTCAGATACTCCAGCTGGATGTACTTGTGTCGCAGTGTTGATGTTCACCTTGGGACTCGCATCCAGTGCCTTTAGCGACATACCTCTCAAAGCATATACTAATGGAACTGAGTTTAATCAAGACTCTAATATAGAGTACCAACCAAGAACAAAATTCATTAAACATCAATAATAGGATAATCCAAATGCTTTCTGATAATCAAACATACAGTTTTTTTTTTAAATAGCAAAAACAATAAACATGTAGCTTAAACTCTTCAAAATACAACTATTAAATTCTACGTATGTTAGATTAAGGCTTTTCGTTTGAAATATCAGTGAAGTAGTATGTTCATTACACAGACACATATGTAATTTGAAAAGTGAGTATCCTTATGCTTCCCACAACAAAACATTGTTCATGATTACTGGATTTAATTATAGAACGTGAATATTTTGATTGAATTCAATAAATTATTCACTGAAAGTGAATTGATTGCTTGTTTCACAAGAACCTGGAAAGAAATTACAATATTTTGATTTCGTTTATCTTTGAAAGGACCACTTAGAAGGCATTAATTAAACAGTAGCAATATAACTATAACAATATAAGACTAGCAAAATACATATGAAACTCACTTTCGGCAATGTATTTTGATGGACCAAAGCTAAACAATAAACACTAACTTGATGAATACTATCAACAGCTTGCAGTACAAGAGACATCCATGTGAAAGCAGCTTCATCTGAATAACCTTGTCTTAGTTCAGCTACAATAACAAGACGTTCATCTTTCAATAAATCCACTGAAAAAACAGCAATCCTGTTCATAGACAGGTATGTGTTAAAAAAATTCAAGAGAATGGTACAATGGTTAAAATTATCCAACTAACGGTTAGTTTTCAATAAATTGAAGACATACAAAATAAGAGAAACTGGTTTTCAATATGAATCGATATATGAAAGTTGATATATAAAGTTAAAACTGAAAAATCAAATGTGGCTCGACCTAACGAAGCTATTCCATCAGGCTGGTCTTAATTGGTTAAATCAATAAAATAATGCATTAATTTCTGTTATTGTTACACATCTATGGTTTAGTTATACTTAAAGTCCTAATTGATGACATGAATGAAGTCATGAATACTATTGCTTCGAATGAAGTGACGGTTGAGAAGCTTGTTTAATTGTGCACTAATTTACGACGGTAAATAATCTGACCAGAAGACAATCTAAAACTAGAAATGCGAAATCCATAAAAATATAAGAACAAATGCCAGGGCACAGAATAACATGAATTCATCTATTTTTTTTAGATTCTCCTCAATTGCTGACATCTTAAAACTATAGTATTCGTCATTGAAATGAAACAAGTTTATATATTTTATACCAGAAACACCATGAGTCAGTTGAGTTAACATGTGAAGATAGAATAATAACAAGAAGAAATAGTGGGGAAGGATTGTTCAAGCGTTCGCTAATTGATAGGTACTTTAAAAAATATAAACGAGATGAGTAAAGCTCGGAAAGTAAGTATCACCTAATCTATCTTCCACTTCGGGAAACAATTCTATTTCCACGCTTTTTCTAGAATGTTCATATATATGTGTAACATGTCAGTAAGCGAACATTAGAACAATAGTAGTCCTTCCGTATTATTATTCTATCTTCACATATTAACTCAATTTGTTCTAGATGTTTCTGATTTAAAGCATGTACATTTGTTTTAGGTTGTAAACAGCTGATGAGAATGCACAAAATAAATGAATCCAAGCTATTCTGCCCCGATATTTTTTTCTGCCTTTATTAAAGTTTATAAATAGGAAAAATCGTATGAAATGAAAATATTCCACAGGATTATGTCACATACCTTCCTCTATAGATAATTTTTGTCGGTTGAACAGCGAGAACCGTTGCTATAATATCATCAGCATTGTGACGTCTACTTGCAATAGTCATTAAACCATCAATGCAACCAGATATAAAGATTAAACCACCCTAAAATGAAATTTACCAAGTCAAATATTGTTACGGTTTTTCTTTTAGGGCATTATATTTAAAAAAGAAACATAGGAGTGAATAAAAAACCTAAAATAAATGTAAAATGTTTGAAAACGATAGACAGGAAGCTATGAGTTCAGCTATGTGATAGTTGCCACTTGTTAACAGGATATAATACAATTTAAACCCACATCATCTTATGCCCCACTCAGATGTGTGATAACTGAGAAAGATCAACTTGGAAATCGAATGATATAAAGTGTATTTTCGAAGCACAATAAACATTGTACAATTAAAAATCAAAAATAATCGAAGCGCTGAGATTGGAATAATGTTAATCAACTAACTTTAATCAGTTGTTGACGATATATTTTATAGACTTCTTTATTCATTTCAATCACTTAACCACTACCATATACATAAAAGCAATAAACAGGAAAACATAACAGCGATTCACTCACAGATGATGCTGGACCAGGAAATCCCATTAATCCAGATCGTGTATACTTCTTAACACCAGCAGAAGAACATACAGGAGAACCATCTTCATGTATCGGTTCCACATGAAAATGTGCATCAGTTTGGCCACGAAGACCCCAATATCCAGAACCAGTACAATCAGAAGATAAACATATTTCACCAACTTCATCAGTTTGACAAAGTATCGGTTTGGGACCCAAACGTATGACAACTGCTGAAGCTACAGTAATACGAAAAGATTAGTTAGTTAGGGAAAATTCGTTAGCATCAATATACAGTAAAAACAACTAACGAAAACCGTATTCAGATAGCTATTAATTCTTACCTCCTGGCAGAACCTGTCCACAATCCTGTAAAGTAAGTGAAGTAAGTGAATCTTCAGTATCAACACGCACAACACCATAAGTAAGACTATGGATCGAAATAACTCCTCTTACTGAACTAGGCGGAGAGGCTACAATTGAATCAGAACGAGGATTTGTACATATTTTTCCATTTACTGAATTCATTTGATGAGGTGGACGACGTAAACAAAGTGTTAGTGTTTCTGAACTTCCAGCACATGGACAGATAGCTTCAGGACAAAATCCTCGAGATCGAAATTTTTGTGTAAAAGAATCACAAGAGTTTAAAGACCCTTAAAAAAAATTCAAGAAAAGAAACAAGCTAATTATCAAGTCATTGACACATCAGATTCACTTAATAATTGTTACGCAAATCAGTTGAATAATTCAAGAGAAAAAAAACACAACTATAAATCGTAATTTTGCATTCTGCACCCTATCCAATAAAAAAGTTCAAAGAAACAAATAAACAATGACAGGTTGATATACGTGACTACCTCCATGTTGTTAAATATTACCGTATATTGAAATATATGTCTATATGATGACCGCAACTACAGTTCTTCAGGCGAATTTTGTTTTAATAAATTTTCAGTTATCTTAATTAACTAATAAGAATTATTTTTTTTAAAGTATTATCCATAGAAGACAAAAAGATTAAAACAATGAAATGGATTATTCTATAAACATTTTATTATTGGGTATTGTACAAACTACTGATAATAAATTTTAAGTTTTACAACACGAACTTGATGTAATGTAAAGTTTCAATAAATAGTTTGTTGTTTTTTTTAAAAAATAAAAAAAGGTTTCTGTTAAATGAACTTTATGTGTCAATCAAATCAGTCTTAACTTTATTTAAATACATGAATACATATATAGAATTTATCAAGCTGGTTTGTAAATAAACAATATCATATGATGTGAATAGCTCCTATTCACACAGTATCTATTCCATAGTTGAGTCAAATTATTATTATTTTCATGTATAAAGATTGAACATTTTGATAAAGTGAATCATGAGATTTGACAATGAAAAGAAGCAAATTAAATGAATAAATAAGATCACATTATTAATAGAGCATTATATCCGACTTTCATATAAGTGAGATGTAAACAACTCCACTACCTGGAAGGTGAAGGTTTTTTTGGTATTTTAAAATGAGCCCTCAATTAATTGGTAATCGATAAGATCTGGAGAGTTACAGTGATGAAGCACAGTTAGCCTTGTACTTATAATTTGAATAAGTGAAAATCTTACAATTAGTTAATAGTTAAGCTAGGCTGTTCAATCACTAGAGAACAAGATTGGTTACTCAGGCAATGTTAGTCAAAACTTTATCGTGACTCAGGGTCTCTGTTTTAAATCCTATCATCAATCGTAAATGCAAAACTATATTTACTAATCAACCCTGTTAAACAGTTGAATCAATGAGAAAGTAGAAAACTTATTTGGCGTTAAAGTTACAATTTATTGGAAATTTTACAAGAAATTATGACGAACAGAAGTTGAAATTACATTTAAATGAAGTGGAATGATAAGAGAATTAATCAGAATGTGATATTGACTGAATCACGTATGTTAGTGATAATATAACGTGAAATCCATGTAATCTGATATACTTTTTTCAATATACAAGAAATACAGTTATTGTTGAGAAGCACCACTGAGTAAAACCCATTGACTACTTTTAATTCCAATCTTATTAATTGATCAGTTCAATTAAACTGATATAAAATCACATAGTTTCTTTTAACTACAAGACTAATTTATTTGTATTTCAATTATATATATTTATTTATTTAAACACATAAATACTGGTACAGGGAGGTACCAAATACGTATGCGCCACACTTCATCATTCGATTATGTGAGGGCTGCGATACTGTCCGGGTGACCAAACCGAAGCAGGTGGTTTTCTCAGAGAACCAGTTCCCGAGACTTTGATAAGGAGGTCTAATTCACAGGTAGTGGAGCAACGTTGGGAGTTGCGGTCCCAAGGTAGACGGTGACCAACAATAGGTTCAAACGCCATTTGTTCCTTGAGGATTCTAAAGCCCATCTGCACCACCGATTCGGAATCAGGGTTTTTCAACTCCCCTAGGTGGATCCTTCATATCTACCAACTAGTTAAACCTCCGGCATTCGCTTTGGTTGTGTACATGTGGCCATTTAAGAGCATTTTGAGAGACAGTGGACTTTCCCCACCCTGGGCCGTACCAGGGCATTCCGGGGCCATTATCTCATTCTTGTATACTATAAAAAAGTAATAGCAATCAATTATTTGTTCGTCATGGATAAACCAAGTAGGATTTTCCAAGAGCAATATTATTTTTAACTCAAACTCACAAGGATTTGATCCATCTGCAACTAGAAGCATACGTAATGAAGATAAATTTACATTGGGATGATCCCGTTCAGCTAATAATGCCCAATGCATATCACGACTTTTTACAATGGCAACGGTCGCTGAAAGAAATTAGTAAATGGAAGAAATAAAAAGAGAGTATAGGTAGAATTAAATGAAGATAAAAAAATTAACTGACAATATAATACAGTAGTAAAAATTTATTAGAAGATATGGAATGAATGATATATGAATATGTAAACAAAAAACAGACCATGGAAAGTACGTTAGGCAAGTAGACACAAAGAAATGCCTTCAAATTGTATCTCACATTGAATAATTCATGGGATGGATTATAAACGTGGAAAACGATCGAATGCATATTTCTATGTGACAAAGATAAATGTTGTTGACAGTCTATGCATTGGACACGACAACATACGTAGATATGTAAACAGAAACAATCAAACTGACAAACGACTCTTTAGACACGAACAAAATTGGATGAGATAAGCATATGATATGGTTTTTTATAAAATTTCAAAAATTATAGTAAATTAAACTCATAAATTTGATCTGAACAAATATTATGCATTTTTCGCATAACCAATGCAGACAAAACGTAACAATCACTATTCAAAATTACTTATCGAGGTTAATTATTAATCAAGGAAAATCGGAATACGTATTTTCATGTGTTTTTGACTTTTCTACAAACAAACTTGTATTGTAGTGAGCTTTTATGTTTTCAGTACATTTTGAACAAAGCATATACTACTTTACAAGCGATACCAAAATACAAGTATTCCGTTATCATTTTATGTCCCGACACTTCGCTGGAACCGTAAAAAAATGAATTACAATGATTGGAGTGAATAATATCAATGTTTCATAAGAAACGAAATTGAAGAGAAAATAAATAATATAGAACAATAATAAAATTCAGTAATTCAATATAGAAATAGTATGAATCAATAAATCTGAGATACCGCGAGCAACTTCTAATAATATCAACTAAGGTCTTTAAAGATAGATTACGACTAACGTTCGAATCCCTTCTAACCACACAAGCTAGACCCGTAGTCAATGCTATGGTTTTTAAACGACTCAAGCATTTCTAGAACCTCTTACAAAACACTAAAATAATCCAGTTTTGGTCAATCAATGCAATAATTTTATAAGCGCTTTAATCGTTCGCGTACGAAACCAATATCAATCAACCTATTAAAGCATTCGAGCTGCTTCTTTTTTATACATCAAAGTCAAATCAATTATAACGGTGCTTAACTATTCCACAACAATGATGTAATTTGTAGAAAAACTTCAATATACTTTGATTGATAACTTTTCATCATTCCCTATTCAAAGTCAACTATCACGAAAATGTTATCCTAGAAATATGCTACAAAATACGGAAATGATAGTTAAGTTCATGTCCAGTTCATGATGATAACAATCATTGAACCATATAAATCTTTTCATAAAATATTTTTGTGAAATTAAAACTATTGAAAACGCTGTAATAAAAGAAGTGAATATACTGAATTTCAGTGACAATAAAAACTCTATTATATTTCAACTGGAGTGTAAACATGGTCATATAATAGTAATTTTTATAATAGCATTATTAGTAAAATATTCACAAATATATGTATAAAACGGTACAATAGCATAGAGTTAATGCATATATTGTATAAAACCAATAATTACCTCGGTACTTGGTAACCATACGTAACCAAGAGCCAGGATCAATCTGCATTACTGAATAAGGCACAAAAATTACATGTAACCCATTGAAGACGCTCTAAAGACAAAGAGGATAATTAAAAGAATCAAAGTAAACATTACTCAATGTTGTTGACAATCAAAAGGTTAAAAACTTTTGTTAACGCAGAAAATATGGAACTAATCTAAATAACATGATAAAACAATCACATACAACAAGACAGACGTGATAGTGTTGTCATTTACATTCTTCATGATCCTTCCAATCCTACTTTTATTACAATTTCTTTCTGTTTCCCTCTCGGTTCTTTTCAGCTCAATCTCCTCAATCCTCTTATGACAGGTATTCTACTTCTGATTCATGTTACATACTACTTATATCTGTCAACATAGGTAGCATATATCACAATAGTATCATAATATATACATTTCGCAGTTTAGAGAAACTCAACTCAAGAACTGATATGAAGCCAATAAGCTGACTTATCTAACAATCTCTGAATGAAAAACATGAATATTATGGGGGTAATGAAGGTCAATTTTTATAAAACAAATAATATTCGGACATAGTAATCGTTCATTAATCTTTAGAGGTGGTTTGTTTAACAGAATGAACTTACTATCCATGGAACTGTTTACTTGAAAAGTAGACAGGTTAATAACATCTAAAAGTTTTCTAGCTTATGCATTATATGTATCAAAAAACAGTATGATATAACATACGAAATAAGATATAATAGATACGTACCGTCAAAACAGCATGCCATAATCCAATTTGTCGGCGGCAATCTACAACACAGACAACAACATCCTCTTCAGAATAATTACAAGCTACAGTTAATGCTCGACAGTGAGAGAGAGCTGCACGTCGACTTATCATTACACCATGTACACTGCCATCTTTACTAAATGTATACTGAAGACGAGAAGAAAAACAGAAAAAATTAGTTCGCATACTTTGTTTACGATTGACAGGAAGGGAAATTGTAGTGATAAACAAAAATCTGAAAATCGTTGTTTATTATTGATTAATATTATTATTTATTTTAATTTCCTGACCAAATTATCAGATGTTGACATTCATGACTATAAAGGATATAAACCATATCATTTAATGTAGGACAAGAAAAAAGAATAATCAACAAGGAACTACATATAAAACCCAAAGAACAAAGAAAAAATTAGGAGTGAAGTACAATAACTTCAGGTTATCTAGACAAATTCAGTTCATAGGTTTACACATGACAGCAGACAAAGAAATTTCAAAATATGTTATGCATTTAGCTGAAATTATCTAAATACTTCAGCGAAATATATTGTAAATCAAAGATAGATGTCATATTTAAGCCAAAAGCTGTAACTACCATGAGGGATAAAAGGGAGTATTTTAAGTTTCATCACCATAATCAAAGAACTTACGCATTGCATTCAACCAGGTCAAAAAACTATTCTAATTCCTTTGTTTGGAAAGAGGTTGCATGACAATGAATTTGCAATGAACCTGATAGTTTTAGTTCATTTTATGAGTAAAATAGGGTATTATACAATATTTGAAATAACGTATTAGCCTGAAATTGTCAAGATATTATATAAAAAATTAGTTAAGAAAATTTAAAGTGTTTGTATCTTTACGTTAATATTAAAGACTAAGGATTACACTCATCCCCGTTTCACAAGCCAGTGGTTACTTGAACTCAGTAGCTCAGTGGATAGCACATTGAACACCTGAAGTGAAAGGCGTTGGGTTTGAGTCCCGGAGTGGGCACCAACACTGGAACGCATAAAGCTAACGAGTTCCAAATGGGACGGAGTGAATGTCCTGTATTCTATTGTTACCTATCACCCAACCTTACTAAAATATTGATTAAAATCCAGCTTCATGTAATCAATCAGGCACACTTGTGATGAGCACTAAAGGATTAATTCTATAAATAACGACTATTCCGAAATTAATTTGTATCTCCACAAGATTTACAAATTCTTATAAATGAATAGTCATTGGTCGCCACCATTAAACTGAGATTAACTCATGATAAAATTCAGTTATAAGTTTCGATAATGATAATAACTTGAAAAGAGGTTTTGATCTGTGTTTTTATGACTAATACAACATAGTGACAGATATAAATAATTTGATATATAAGTTAACATTGTTTTAAGAAAGCAAAAGATGTATTAAAAAGGATTGGGGTTAATAACGATGGACATTTATAAACAAGTTACACAACTATAAATATAATCGAATGAATCATCCCTGAATTGTCATGACTATGATTAATTTTACCATGTTATTTCCTGTTACTAAAACTTACAAACAAATAAGATGAATAATGTGGGCGGGAGTGGAAGGGTTAAATGAACATTTGTGTGCAAATGACTGTGAGAGTAAGTAATTATCTATTCGGCTTTTCTATCCCATAAAGATATTAAGAAAATGAAGGGGATAAAAAAGGAAGAATTGGAATATGCATTAGTCTTTGTGGTCAAAAATAAAACTATTGCATAATCACATAAAAATGATAAATAAAGCCTAGACCAGCATCAAATACCAGTAACTCTTTTAGTTTAAATGGATAAATGTAAGCTAACGACTATCTATTTTCCTCATTGGAATCGCGAAATGATCATAAATAGACCACCATTGAAGACCTGGAAGCACTGAGCAACCATTTCGTCCTAATATGAGACTAATCAGCAGTACACATTCACGATCTCTCTAGAGGGACACGAGCCCAGAACCTTCTGTCTCGCGTGAGAACGCTTAACCTCTAGATCAATCAGCCGGTACTCAACAGTGTTCGTACTTAACTTTAATTAATCCATGATCTTGCGCAACCCTTCATGCACTGCCTGCGGTAGATAACTGTCACAACAGAAACGGGTTGAACCCCACTGATCACGGCTTCTCACTATAACTTGGTCTCCGCATCCAGGTTGCGCATCCGTACTGCTGATGAGTCAGTTGATGAAGTTGTAGATCTTTGTCGACTGAGATGGTTGGGTCACGTGTTACTTATGCCTGAACACCGATTACCGTGACACGCAATGCTCATTAGTGTTGAAGATGGTTGGAAGAAAGTTAGGGCGACCAAACCAAAACGTGGTACCAGTCCATAAAGTCACTAAGTTCTGATCTTAACCACATTCGTAGACGCAGACTACTTGGTTGGGGTCCGCGTGACTATCGTAAACAACGGTTGGAGACTCGAGATGACATGGTTCAAAGTCGATCACAATGGCGTCGGTATACACACTCTGTCTTCCCTTAAACCATGAGATTAAAATTACGTTATATCTCTCTTTTTACTAACTAATTCTTTCTTCCTGTACTATATCCTTATATGCAATCTTTTTTACAAATTACTACCATTAAGGTAACTGCTTCTATGAATTTGGTGTTCATCTTGTTGTGCCACCTACAGTTCAAGTGAGATGTTTGTCTGTCAAATAAACTATTACACTAAGACGCAGTTTGCTCTTTATTGTTGAACAGCTATGAAATATCGTCTATAGGATCTAAAGATATAAGTAGGTTCCAATTATTTGGTCACAGGTAACTCTAAAGAATCGCTCTTATTTGATTAAATCAGTGAGTAATGGCGGGGTTAGATGTCGAGTACTACGTAAAGATAACATCGAATCCTTTTGAACTGTATTGTAATGTTTAACTCTCCTTTGTTTCTCGTTGGTATACAATCATACCGGTTTCTATATCAACTGCAAGTGAGACTGCCAAATACGGTTACTCCGAAGTAGAACAATACTAACTAATAACATGGTTGTTTACCAGATATAATACAAGTGGGATGAAAAGACATGGCTGGACATTGTGTCGCTAATTGTATAATTTTAATTTATCAATCAACTAGGTGAAATGTCCTGTAACTCATGTGTACAATCTTGTCAATAATCTCGGTACTGACTATTTCAAATCTAACACAAATTAAGTATTATTCTTAAAGTCAACCAGGGTTTTTTAGTACCCAAATTAGTTCTTCCAAAAAAGGGTATAGAATATGACCTATTTATTTAATAAGACCATCAACTAAATAATTTAAAAGTATTTGGCATAAAGAATATATACAGTGGAAAAGTCACTAAAATCATTAAGAATAAGACCGGCAACTTCACATTTATCGTACATAACCATGTACATCTCCAATATGCAATACAAAATAACCAAATTTAAATAGAATGATTGTATGAACACGGATTCAAATGACGATCAATCAGCCCAACACTAGTTATCTGTCGTCATGACAATTTCCAGTGATGCATAACATAACTAATTCAGTTTACTCTACTATCTACTTACACTTCAAAATTACAAAAAAGCGACAGTATGTCGGGCGATTGGTTAACAGCACTGTGTAGTTGATAATTTATGTAACGAAAATGTTATAAAGATTTTAAGACGCAACTATATACGACAAGAAAATCATAAAAAGTTAGACAATTGCAAAATATGTTTGTCGTACATGGACATCACTAACAAATGTGAAATACGAGACAGGTTTCAAAAATGAACAGTAGAAATGATCTCAATAATTTGGTGTAATTGTTACAATAAACAAGATTTCCTCTGCAGAATCCAATTTCTCATTACTACTCTATCTACATATCAAATTATCAAATGTATGGTTGATAAAAATCAAAAAGGCAAAATACAGTTAAATTTCTGCTGCCAAGTTTACTTATTCCCAGACATGGTGGTGGTTGATTTGCATTTTATACGACTAGCAAAAATGAAACTAAACATTGGAGGTATTAATAATAAACAATACGATTGTGAATCGATGAAGGTAAGTACTTGCCAAGGTCAATACGATTATACACTATTGGGCCACATAAACATAGAGAGAGGGAGGGAGAGTGAAAAAACGACTACACCAACACACTACGAAAAAATAAAAAAATGTTTATTATTCACAATGAATAACCAGTAGGTCATAAAAACAATAATCTTATAGTTCCCACTATTTTTCTTCACAGTAGAGATGAATCACGAAAAGTGACAGTAACAAAAATAGTAACAATAATAGTAGTAATAATAATAACTAGACTTCGAGTGTACGTCATACTACTAATGAGAATAGTTGTGGATGAAAAAGTCTACTGTGTTACACAATTTAAACTCAATAAATGGACTCAGCAAAGACAACCCATTCATTTTGTATCATTAGTTCGAATTTTCGTGCTGACGAGTCCCAAACCGAACGAAACACGCGTCCTTGATTCCACCGCTAGCCACCATTAATCTTTGCTTATAAGGACAACCTATACTGCGGTCAGATTCCAACCAACCATTTAAAAATGTAACACTCATTTAACCATACGCAACTTCATGATTACGAAGTGAACCTGCTGTCTATAAGATAACCAGAGTATCTGGTTCCTGAGGCACGGTCTATGGCTAATTAATTGAAAGTTGTATTATATAAATCAATGATTCATTAGTTGAAAATGACAAAATGTTATAGTCAGATTATTTTAGTCATTAAATACTAGGACGATGTATTATGTGAGAGTAGTTAGAACTCTCGTTAAAAACGATCACATAATAAAAGTAAATAAATGATTAAAAAATCTAGGTATCTAGTACAATGTATTTATTAGACAGAGTATAAATGAAGCATAATGGGGTTTGAATGAATTAACTAAAAACACAAAATTGTTATTCTGTCATAACATTCAACCAATTTTATAATGTGGGGTCAAAAAATGATAATGAACGATAATACATCAAGTGAACTAAAACATTTTACAAGTACAGTTAATTAGCCCTCGCCATACTGAAACTACAAATACAATCAGGTTGGAAAAAGGCTGAATTTCAGAATTACAAGGCCAGATAAATGCTTTTTAATACTTCAAATTATTTCACTAAAATCTGCAAAAATAATAAGTTTCTTTTCAAATCACTAGTCTGTATTTTCAGAAAAAAAGGCGTGAGTTCCCGGGATGGTGTAACTAAATCATATATAAAATTTAGATACTTGCCTTCTAAATTTTCTATTCATGATACTTTTCAATTTATTGATCGTATTAAGGACGTTAATACTTCCGGAAAACACATGTTATCGCTTGACGTTAAATCATATATCACAGAGCAAAGACCGCCGACCAAGGTCCTCCAACCATCTCTGTCCTGGGTTCTCCTTTCCAGTTCTTATTCATTCTTATGATGTCTGCCCTCTAGGAATCCAACTCAGGATATTCAACTTTTGCGAAGAATGATTTACTTTTAGACCACTGAGTTAGAAAGGTTCTTGAAATAATTTCTCAGTAATCAACGTAATTGTAATATAGTGGAATGGACAAATGTTGGGCAACATAAGACCATGGAAAACAATCAAATCTGATGTACTTTAATACATGATAAAGAATGACAGATAGTATGCAGAAACAAAGCAGAAACGGAAACAAGAAAATGAAATCCAAAAATTAGAGGAAAAAAATACGTATGTTTTGAAAGAATCATCATGTGAACCGATGGTTATTTTGATTTTCTTTGATATTGGGACACCACTCGTTTTTTCCTTACATATTAACACTATGTTTCTTAAACTCATAGACAATTTAACACTAAAACTACCGATAATGAGAACCAGAATTTTCGTAAATAATAACTGAATATTTACAAGAAATGATTCTGTTAATGAAAAGAATACTTATATTAGTTGAAATCGAATTCCCTACCTTGTACACAACTACAAGTAATGATTAAATGTAATAGGAATTGCATAAAAAAGCAAATTAGCCACACGAATAAGGATTTTAAAAATGATCAGCATATTTAGATGATAATATGACACAAAATGAATTCCTACAGTCAGTAGAATGTTAAAAAAAAAGAATTTGTGTCCAAGACAAATCAAAATTGAAATAGCATTTTTAATTAATTTAACATGGACAAAACAAATGTTCAAAGAAAGAAAGAAAGATATTATTGAAGGTAAAGAAATGGAAGAAATGATAGAAACATATATTTACATAATTTTAGACAATCAAAAATGTCAAGATTGAAGATAATAAGAACTAATGATTTAAAATTAAATGTTAACAACATAGCAAAAATTTATGAAACGGGCAAACGATAGAAATTGGATGTGAAGGTAGAAAATGTTTAAGAAAAAACTATATTGCAAATATTATTTTGAATAATGGGAGGAAATATGAATATGAAGGAATATAATCCATGGTGTTATGTAATTTTTCTTTACAAGTGACAAGGCTTGCAAAACCTTTTACGCATTCCTGATCAGTATGATAGTTTCCAAGAACAACTAATACACTACATACTTTTTATTTAGTTTTATATAAATTAAAATGTAGAGTAAAAAGTCAAGCAAAACAATACTTACTTCTAAGTACATGGTTGCATCATTTGTTAATCGATCAGGAAGAGTCCAATCTTTCGGTGGTTTAGTTCCACTAGCATGATGGTCTGTATTAATCCATGTAACACGTGGCCAACCAGAAAATGATAATATCTCACCGTTAGGACCACGTTGTAAAGCTTTATAACATTGCTCACTAGCCAAAACTATACGTGCATCCTGACTACCTAATAAAAATCCCATACTTTGACACGACGCATCCTTTAAAATATAAAATAAGGCAATTTAAGTATTTCACTCTTGACATCCTTCTATTCAGTATATCAATGAGTAAATTTAGGGTGATTGGCCGACTAGAAATGAGGAAATTCCTTTACATAATACTTCATGATTCACTTTATTTGTTCAAATGACAAAAACCTTTGATTTTTAAGAACTTAACTTTATAAAACATAAAGGTAAACAAACAAATTCTATTGAGATCATGAACCGATTGATTTAGACCACCATTGAAAACCTGGAAGCACTGAACGGCCGTTTCGTCCTATTGTAGGACTCCTCAGCAGTGCGCAACCACGATGCCGCTCGCAGGTTCATGATCTCAATCAAAAACTTAACAATCTCCACAATCCCTAAACTGATAAATAAATCCTGACAAACGAGAAATTAAACAGCGAAAGGTTCTACATTGTGTATAAAAGCAGATCAGATTTAACCTTTTTTCAAACAATAGTAAAAATGCACATACAACGTCTAAAATGAAATTTTTGAAAGCCTTAATTACAAATAAACATAGAGCACATATAATATGAGAGTATTTACTCGACGAGGAGATGGAACTTCGATTGCTATTGGAATCACACTGGCCAAAATACAACCATAAAATGCACACAGAAAACTGATTGGTTCATTATTAGCGTACACCAATGCGACACGGTCTCCGGGTTTTAAGCTCTGTTCTCCACGATGACCCAATTTATTCAAAAGTGTGTAGGCTATTCGGATGGCACGCTACATAAAATACAATCAAGGTCATTTCATCAATATATATAATCGTTACAAACAATAATACAAATAATATAGGTCAATAATTAGTTAGCATTAAAATCTCTTAAATATCAGAAATATGCATACAGTCGCAATAAATACCTTTTACAACTCTGATGGCTTAATGTATGAAACGATACAATGTTTAGAACATGGAGCGACATGAAGAATTAGAACACTTGAGCACAGAACATTAATAATAATCTGTAATAACTAAGCTTTAACTATTAATTACAGACAACTCAGGGAGACCTTAATCAAGACATTTGCACCTCTCTACAGGGCTGTACATAACTCTAGTAAATTTCTTGACTGAAAACACTAAGTTAAGAATCCTACAGACTATCCTATAACATGAGGACATACTGATTAAATATGTTATGAGGTCAATTTATTTTACTAACTAACCTCAAATGTTTTTTTAAAAATTAAACGGTAGATAAATTACTGCATATAATCTGTTCATCTAATATAGGTCATGTGAGTTGATGTGACATTCAAGAGTCCTCTTAAACAATGTTGACTCCAATTAAACCGGTAAATATACACAATAGAAGGGAACCATATGGTGGCAATTCAAAAATATCATAAGAAAAGTTGATTTTAAAAAAAATATACTTAATCAGTTGGATTAAAAACAGGATTTAAGCACACGTTCATGTTACAACCTTTCAGCAATGTACACAATGTGATGGCTAAAGATACTCATTTACTCAACAGAAATGATATATTCCTAAAACGCATAAATTATCGACCGCTGAACAAAAGTTCAATCTAATACTAATAATAATATAATATTACTATTCGATAACATGAAATCTTAATACAAATACTTAATTTCCAAGAAAAACTTAGAACATACTTGCAGCAATTTTGCGTAAGTTAGCACCTGAGTTGGTCTGCCAGATACGTCCAAACAAGTTAAGGCAGGTGTTTTACAACTCAAGCTAGCGTAACGCTGAAGCGCAGATTCTAGATTTCTTGGTAAACCAGAAGGTATCTATAATAAAAACAAATTACGATCAAAACGTTAGACAGTTCATATATAAACATCGGTGGCATACAATATAGCGATTATAAGACGATAAACCTGTTAAAATAGAAAACTTACAACTAGCTCTTCTCCTATAAGTGGCTCAGACGGAAGACCTCTGGGACGTGGTGCCGTAGGATCAACAACAGGTCTTACAAGTACTTGGTCTTCATCATCAAGAAAATATTCGGGTAATGGATATCGTTTGGGACGTTTCAAAGTGTTGACTAATTTTTGAATTTTTTCTGATACACGATTATGACATACAAAGCCTGTCGTTTGACTGGTATCAGAGGAAGGATCTTGTCCAACTGACTCTCCTGTTACTGGTGATGAGAACTTCCTACTATTACTATTATCAAGATCAGCAGATGACGAAGATGCTAGTGAAACTGGCTGGTTTGACTGAGAATACTGTTCTTGTTGACCTTGTAAGTCATACGCTGATGATGAAGGAACGAATTCATGATTTGTATGTCCTGAATTACCATTTGATATGACACCACTAGAAAAACTAGGGAGCACACTAACACTTCCAAATATATGAGATCGCTGACCATTCTGAGTCATGGATATTGGACATGAATTGATTCCAGACTGGGGTTGATAAGCTGAATTCGAAAATAAACATATAAATTGACAATATTACGGCATAATTAAGTTAAAAAGTTTACAAACCAATAAACAAAAATTGGAAAATCGAGATGCAGACTAAATCACACGAGTAATTTTTTGATTCAGTTACTTACCACTGAAATATATACTAAATTGACCAATACTTAAGATACAAGCCTCAGTGAACAGATCAACTACGAGATCGAATATATATAGGCGGAAATATACATTTATAACTAAAACATTGAAATATCCACCTTGGAGTTGATCTATGATTTGTTTAGTTTAGTAAGTTTGGGTGTTTTCCGTAAGAATCGATCGTGTTCTGACCAAATCGCAACACTACGGATAATTGTGGAACAACTAATTGAATGGAATTCATCACTCTGCATCAACTTAATTGACTGCCCCCAAATGTCCTGGTACGGCCGAGAGTGGGGAGAGTCTGCTCTCTCTCTCCAAATGCACTCACATGGACACGCGTATATAGCCTCTGCCAGGGAAGTCCTACTCACTGCCTTCTCGTGGCAGGGGTGTTGTTTACGGAATTGCCAAGACGAAAAGCGAATGTCCGGCACTTTAACCGGATTGGTTGGCATGGAGATTTCACTTAGGGGAGTTGGAAAACCCTGATTCCAAACCAATGGTGCATATGGGCTCCAGATTCCTGAAGGAACAAATAGCGTATGAACCAATCGTTGGTCACTCGCTACCATGGGACAGCATCTCCTTACGATACTCCACTGCCTTGTGGATCAGACCTTCAGGTCGAAGGCTCCAGATGTGGCCCCCTAATAAGACCACCTGCATCGGTTTGGGCACCCGGGCAGTGTCACAGCCCACACACAAACCAAGTGACTTGTGTAGTGCATATGTATTCGGTACCCCTTTGAACTAATATTTGTGTATTCAAATATATAGTAAGATTAGGCATAGAAAATACGATTCAAGAAAACCAAATATAAACTAGTGAAATCAAAACAAAAAAGGTTTTGAGGAATTCAGAATAAGGGGGGAGACAGAGAATGGATGCACCTGTGCCATTGCAAGCGATTTTTAGCCATGTCATTCAAAGTCTCTAACCATTGGTTGGCATCCTATAAAATTCGTCTTTAGCTTCAACCAAGCTGTAATCGGTGGGAGCGTAGACAGAGACAACGGAAACGCAACGGCGTGTATCCCTATCTTACTTTCCCACTTAGTCAGACAGCGCACAAGCGACTGTCTATTGGAATCCAGTCTAACCAACCCTTTCCTGCTTTTAAACTTAATGCTATACCTAAACCAGAGGGGCCACGGGAAGTAGCAGTGGGGTCTCTAGAAACTCACAGGGTAAATTGTGCCGATCCTTTATACTGACAAAGTGAGGTCAAATGAATGCCTGCAATTGGACCACGTATGTGTGCGCAGTACACATCGATAGAGCGAGTCTACAGTTCTAGCTAACGAAACCTGCTATCTGATACAAGGTTCTAACATTAAAAGCTCTGACACGTAGTTTGGAGAGAGGTTGAATTAATACATGGAATCTTAAACCACTAGTCTGAGACATAATGATGTATACAGACCTCCTAGTTTGGTGCTGCGTAGGAGTACCAACATATGATTAGACACGGGTAGTTTAGCAAAAGATGTTATTCGTAGCTTTTCATTCTTCTATTTCATTTATTCCTCTATAATTGTATTATTTCATGTCAAGATTCCCATAAGAGTTTATATTTCTTCCCATTCTTATAAAACTCAATTTAAAAATTACATCTGTTACTCTGATGGATTTGAGGTGTGACAACTTGAACTGATGCACACCCGTACAAGTACTTATTCTGATTATAACCGACTGACTACATAGCTTTAAATAACCGCAAAAATTCAAGCAGGTAACCAGTATACTTTTGAATCAGTATCATCCTTATATTTATTTCTTCCGGTAATGAATAAATGTAAAAACTTTATTCTATGAAAACACATCCACATAGATGGTGAGATAACGATACAATACGTGTAAGCTATGAATCCACTAAAGGAATGAAATTTACCAGTAGAAATCACTTGAGATTGATGAAAAACAGTATTAACTGATGGATCAGAATAATCGTACATCCCTAAATTATTAGAATTTAACTGAGCTTCAGCAAGAGCAGCTAACTGTTCAAACGAATCAGCGGTATTCAATGCTCCATCTAAATTACCATTTTGTTGATTAGAAGGCTGGTTTGTGTAAGTCCATGGACTATTTACATCTGATTGATTTATTCTATTTGAAGATCGAATCGGCGGTTGACCTGAATAAAACATTTTGAAAAATTTACAACTGATTAATACATGAATCATGAAATATTACAAAAGTATATCGAAGACTGTCCCAAATAATGATAACACCAGCAGCAAGAATAATGATATTAGAATGAATCGACGAACAAACACGAGACTGATCACGAAGAAAAAAATTAATGTGGTAAATTCAGTTGACGATAAGTCAAAAAGCTGTCAATCATGGAGACTATACATTTTCCAGTGCTTATCTCCATCAACTTGGTTGATGAACATTTTGAAAGTGTAATCTAAAAGCTAAGGAGGTTTTATGAAGACTGTCTTAAAATATACACCTACATACATTTACCCTGTCGGGTGCTTTCCTGTTTCCCATGGTGATCTAGCTAACATGATTACACGATTTAAATTATGAAAATCCTACAATCTTCAGAAATCCCTATATACTGAAAATAAATGTTAATTAATAATATATATGTAAAAAAGCAGAAAAAACTATTGTACGTTGGCAAACAGCACTATGCAACTGCTTGGTAACCGTAAAGGGTTGAAATTTTAAGTAATAAAGTTTTAATCCACTGAACACAAGTTTATGTACTTGACCTTAAGTCACACTGTTTGAAAAGTATGGTACTACCCTCCGCCCAAATTGGAGTAGGAGAAAATGAATCTAAATCTAAAACCTCTTAGTGAAACGCGAGTTGTTTCAACCACTAACACACAAACAACAGCTTAACTCGACCGATCAGATTTTTATCACCGCAATGAACACAAAGTAATCGAATTTTAACTACGAATCATAAAAAGTCAATAAGTGGTAAAGTAGAACCTAGTACATATGCACATCCATTCAAGTTGTCATACCCAGTAGCACAGAGAGATGTTGTCAGGTCAAATCCCAGAATAGTAGAGATAGTAAAAGTATTAGTGGTAATAGGAAGGGTTAGGTATAGAAGATACGATTCAAGAAAACGAAATATAAACTAGTGAAATCAAAACAAAAAATTGGGGAATCGAGAATCACAGAATTTGGGGGAACACAGAGAACAGATACATTTGCGTCATTGCAAACGATTTTGGCCCGTGTCATTCAAAGTCTCCAATCTTTGATTATAATGACCATACGAACCCCAACCAGGTACCCTGTTCCTAACCCAGGCATTGTTTACTCAGTGGTCCCGAAACACACAGATAATCCTTCGGAGACACCTATGATCGGATACTAGTAACCTAGGAGTATCCTCTATTATTGATGACCATGTTTCACACCCTTAAATTATTACGGAACAAGACTCATAAAAAGAGGGATTATCAAGAACAAAAAATAATTACAGGATCGAATTTCATCCAAAGAAGGCACTTCATCATATCGATTAGCAGGAGATTGTTGTTTGCGTATCTGACCAGTAATAGCAGTAGTTGATGTTCTGAGTTGATTTCTGTCGGAAACACCATTGGTCGGTACACTTGAACTTGGAATCTGTTAATATAATACATGTTTAAAATCACGACAAAAACTCGTCGTTAAAAAAACCACGATAATGGAAGATGAAGTGAATTTATTTTATAGACATTTGCTACAGCTACTGTTGATTAAAATGACTAGGAAAGATATAACTATTTCTGAAATAATCAGTTGCTTCGACTTTCAGGATAGTAGTTATCATGGACTAACACGGGCTGAAAAGCCATGAAAAATTAAGACTTGAAATCTTTCTAAGGTTTAGTGTTGTAATTCAATTCCGAATTAAGTTGAGCAACATCATATCTAGCGGTGACCAACTTCCAATTTCAATGTGGCCAAGTAAACCTTTGCGCACGCGGTTTGAGGCCAAACTTTTGTTCCACAACAAGTGACATTACTTGGATGACCAAATCTGGAGTGGAGTGAAGCTTGAATTTATGGTCTAATAGTTATTTATTGATTATTTATTTAAACACATAAACATTGGTACAAGGTGGAACCAAACTGATATACGCCACATGAATCATTCGCTTTATTTGAGGGATGGGGTACTGCCCGGGTGCCCAGACCGATGCAGGTGGTTTTATTAGGAGGACCACGCCCCAAGCCATTGGCCTAATGGTGTAATCCACAAGGCAGTAAAGCAACGTCAGAAGACGCAGTCCCATGGTAGTGAGTGACCAACAATTGGTTTATACGCCATTTGTTTCCTCAGGATTCCGGAGCCCATGCACACCATTGGTGTAGTGTAATTTTACAGGGCACAACATGTTTGAGTTCAAATCAATAGTTGCAAACTGAGTGTTCTAATCATTTGAGGAGACCAACGTATCGTTGAATATAAATACTGAAAAATCTCGGGTAATATTAATTAATTTTAATCACTGTCCGTCAAGAGCTTAATCCAATTTCTCTCGGAAAGCAAATCACTGATTCGGCTAAAAAAATTCCCACCGTTTAATAATCTAAAAATAGTGTATTCATCTTCTATGGACAAGATTTCTTCAGAGCTAATTGTGTTACTATTTGTGCAACTGGGATAACACAACTCACTTTCCAGCAAAAGTTGTAATTTATGACTTTAATAGATCATATCATTGAACGGATTTTGGACAAACATCGAGTGTCCTTTCACGACTCCACCAACGATCGGACCCAGGACCTTCAGATATCGCAGCAACGTGCAATCTTTACACTACTGAACCGGCATCCAGTGATTTACATGTTTAATTTCAATCAGTGAAACATTTAGTGTTCAAGGTAAGTCATTAACAAACTGAACTAATGTGCACTATTCTATGCACAACTTTAATACAAAATGTAGATAATAGACATAGGCCTTTAAAAACAAATAAACACGATGTCAGCCCAAGCACATGATAGTACGCATACAACTGATGTAAACTGTATTAATTAAACATGATGGAAACATGAAACGTCCTTGGAACTGTGGTACAACTTTATCCAAAGAAATGCTAAATAGCGTTTTATATATTCTCTGGTCCATGGTTTAAAAAATTGGGTCAGATAAGGTCGTACATGACAAAAATAAATATATAGTAAAGTATAACACACACCAACAAACGGTGATATGTACACACACACACACACACTCGTGTATTATGCCTATATGACAAATTACTAAAATCGTATTTAATGTAAACAAACCTAAAAAAGACAACCACTGAAACAAACGAATATGAAACAATCAAAACGAAACGTTCTATACAAAAAGACAAATCATACGGCTACATATATACCTTAAACAACCATTTGGATCTTTTTACAATCCTGAAGGGATTGATGCTCCTAGTGGGATTTATTTATTTTATTTTAACACATAGATATTGGTACAAGGAGACACCAAATATATATGCGCCACACAAATCTCCATTCGATATGTGTGAGGGCTGTGATACTGCCCGGGTGCCCAAAACGAAGCAGATGGTTTTCTTAGGGGGCCACTCCCCGAGCATTCGACCTGAAGGTCTGATCCACAAGGCAGTGGATCATCGTAAGGAGATGCAGTCCCATGGAAGCCGGTGACCAACAATTGGTTCAAAAGCCATTTGTTCCTGCAGGATACTGGAGCCCAAGTGCACCATTGGTTTGGAATCCGGTTAAAGCGCCGGACATTCGCTTTTCGTCCTCTCATTTTTGTAAACAACACCCCTGCCACGAGAAGGCAGTGAGTAGCACTTCCCTGGCAGAGGCTATATACGCGTGGCCATGTGAGAGCATTTCGAGAGGGAGAGCGGACTCTCCCCACTCTCGGCCATACCAAGGCATTTGGGGGCCCTAGTGGGATTTAAATCCAGGTCACACAGCTCCACAGTTTGGGACATTATCAGTGAACTATTTGGGCTACAGTCAGTCAGTCAATCATTTACAACGTAGGACAAGGCACATATATGCATCGGTCCAAGTTGCCATACTTCATTAACACAACAAGATGGACACCGGATTCATAAAAGTAGTTCATTCAGAGGTGGTAATATATAAAAGAAAGATTGCAATAAGTATATAGTACAGGAAGAAAGAATTAGTTCGTAGAAAGAAAGATATGAAGCGATTTTAATCTCTTAGTTTAAGGGAAGACAAAGATTGTATACACCGACGCCATTGTGATCGATTCTGAGCCATGTCACCAAGAGTCTCCAACCATTGGTTACGATAGTCACGCGGACCCCAACCAAGTAGTCTGCATCTACCAACATGGCTCAGACTACAAGTTAGTGACTTCAAGCACTGATGCCACGTTTTGGTTTGGCCGCCCCTAACTTTCTTCCAACCATCTCCAGCACCAGTCAGCATTGCACGTCGTGGTAATCGGTGTTCAGGCATACGTAACACGTGGCCCAACCATCTCAGTCGATGAACAATCACAACCTCATCAACTGATTTACCATCATTCCCTAATACCCTGCGTCTAACCTCACTATTACTTACCCGGTGATCCCAGCAGACGCCAGCAATATTTCTAAGGCATTTGTGGTCAAATACTAGTAGCTTACGAGTGTCTTCTACTCTTAATGGCCATGTTTCGCTCCCGTAAAGTAAAACAGGACGGACTGCTGCACAGTATACTCGTCTTTTTATTGATAGACGGATATCTCACCTTCGCCATAGGTGACGTAAGTTGGCAAAAGCCAAGTGAGCTTTTCTAATCCGTGCTGAGATTTCGTCAGACACTGCAACTGGCCTTTTGTAGGAATGAGACTTTTGCAGCCGAGTGAACACTGATTAATGACCACCTAACAACTCAACATGTAGTGCCGAGTCAGTTAAACTAGTCATCACATTGCAACTTATTCGATAGAATTCAAGCAGTAGTCCAGTGTAAACACCAACAGTGTGATGGAGGTTCATCCAGATGATAACTACTAAAAAGAGTGAAACATGGGTCCTGGATCCAACTGCTAGCCATGATTCATTTATTTTGTAAAAAAGATTTTTTTTCGTTTTTAACTTGTTAGCAGTGGTGAAAACATCTTAATTTCATGGAGAATTGACCATAAGACTACCATAAATCTAAGTAAATATTAAAGACATGAAGTTCAGCGGAAGGATCTCTTTTCAACGAATTTACTACCAAGCTGTACAATCGTATATATATATATATATATATATATATATATATATATATATATATATATATATATGAATTATCTGTCAGGTAAATATGTCAACTATAAAAAACAACTAGGCAGGAATCCGGCGAGTTTTTTGTAAAGACTCATAAACATCATCAAACTTACTTCACTTAATCCCGATGACTGATTAAAATTGTTCCCTAAACGCGTAATGTGTGCAGATGTTGACGACAAATCTTCATCCGAATCATCAGAATCTAATAAAAATGGGAGAAACAGTCCTTTAAGCAGATATTAATAATGATATCATAACACCACCAGCCCATCATCATATGTATAGTATGAAAATGAAACTACAACAGTGAAACTAAGTAATTTAGTAAATTAAACTATCATCCGAACACCACTATGAGATCACTTAGACGGTAAATAGTTAACCGTTTAGCATTCGTCTAAATCGTGTGGCCAACTCGATATTCCCTTGAATATCGAAATAGGTTGGGAAGATAACGAAAGGAGGTTGTCAAATGATACAAAGTAATAAATAATATACAATTGAAAAAAAATGAAATCTGTTTAGCAGATGGGTCGTGTAGTTGAAATAACATTACTCCAGAACAGATAATCTGGGCTTGATTAAAAAATAAGATATGTTTATCGGATTTAAAGTCAGGCTGCACCAGGATACAGTCAACATGATACAGAAAGTAGATTAATGCCATTTACTGAACTTCATCATATTAAAGCAACAGCGAATTAATTGTTATCATGTCTATATTTAAATCTAAGAAAAAATCAAGCATGTAAATCAATTAATGTTTCTGAAATAGAATTAAGTGGTCACCTAATAATTACTAGCTAATAAAGGTAAGGGATATCAGTCATGTTTAATATTTTTAGTTAAAAAACAATTTTCTTTCTACTCTGTTGCCATTTGTTTGACGATTTACTCAGTAGAAAGACTTTTCATATTACAATTCATTAACATCTTTACATGCTACTAACACTTTCGTCAATAGGAGTTGGTTTTTTATTCACATGTACGAGTTGAAAGTGAAATAATGATGTCTGGGAATAAAATACATTGCTTGTACTTTATAGAATTTTTTTAATCAAAAAATCCATAAGAATATCATAAACTATAGACAACTGATAAGTGAATATGCACAAAACATAGACACGCATATAAAGCAAGACAGGGAAAGTGACTTGAATTCGGCAAAATATATGTAAGTTGAAGTGTATAAATGAAATATAATACGTTCAATTGTTTGTTATCTATGTACACAAACACATACAATCACATAAATATGCACAACACCGTATGACTCACATCTAAATAAACTTTACCGTTGTGTTAGTGTTACATAAAAGGAAATGACATTGAAAACTACTTAAAAAGAAACAGATCTAAAACGTTTTAGAGAAATTATCCTTCAGTGTTAATATTAAGCAGTAACGATAAGTCTGGTTACATAAAAGCAATCACAATTAGAACATATTAAAAGCGAATTGCAAAAGGCGTATTATTTCCAATGAAATGGATTTGTCTGAGACATAAATTTTGATTTTGCTTATCACCATTCTACTCACACTGCCATAATCGTTTTATATCCAAACCATTATAAGTAATAAGCCGGGGTTTATTCAATTTCATAATCTTTTGGTATACGTAATCTGAGAACAAGTTCGCGTGTCCGACTTGCGTTACACTTAAGGTTTGAGGGTTAGTGATGCTACTCAGCTACTGAAACCGGAGTAAGTGGAACATGTTTCAAAATTGCGACTCAGTGGTCGAAAGCCAAAATATTTCAACTACTAAATGCATTCTACAAATACCACGAAACTAGCAGCCATAAATTCGTTGGTATTGGAAAGTTAATTTTATTGAGCGATCTACTGCAGACGTAAATTAATTAAACTACATATATAAATTAACAAATTTGCGACGTTTTAGCAGTACGTACGAGTGACTCCATTCATGATTGAACCGAAGTCCAAATGTGCTAATCTCGAATTTTCAGACCACAACTCTGTTGATCGACAAAATCGGACGATTAAAGATTGTTATCAGTTCCGAGAATATACCGAAAATATACTACAGCTATGTGAGGCTCATTATAAGAAAATAAACCTAGTGATCAAAGATTTAAAAGGACATGTTTGCTAGGAATCCGTGTTTTCTTATTCTTTACATCTTATTATCTATGTAGTTAGAGTACAAACCAATAATTTAGGCGATGACATACATGTTGCATCACGTTCAGGAGTTTGATGTATACAGGACAAACGACTGGGGTCACGACGTTTACTAGGTGCCAAGGCATCATGACGTTCCTGCCGAGCTTGCACTAGAGCCTCCTTCACTGCCTCCTCTCGGATATCTAAGAAGATTAAAAATGAAAATCGCATCCATAATAAAAGCAATTAGCTATAAAAAGTTCAAATATTCCGAATATATATGTGGAAATACACTGAAGGTACTACTATTACATAAGTCAATCTAGTATTCGTAATACATTTAACTAACTGCCCATTTAAATGAAACAATCAGATAGACTGATTGCATTGTTAAAGTTAAGTGTTGATTGCCATTTCATTTATGATTCCAAAGGTGTCAGTTTGGTGACGCTTCTATTGAGCTTAGTTTGTAGAGTGTTTATTTACCAGTTAACGGACTCAGCATTCAATCAACAGATCGTATGTAGATCGTCGTACTTTGCTTTACTCAGCCAAATAATGTTAATAAACCCCCTTGAAAATCTTTCTATTTCTGATGATTTCCATTTTTGCATTACTGTAAAACGTACGATATCATATATGTCCGAAACATGCTCAATAAAGTTTGGTCTTCAAAACAACTTTGGGCCTTTTCTACAATATATTTTACAACATATCAGACAAACGTCTCTAGAATTCATAGAATTGAGTAACGTGGTATTTTGAAATAGCTGAAGCAATATTTTGTGTTTTGGATACCAGGACGTAATTTCAAAACACTAATGTATAAGCTTCTAAGATACCACGGCACTGTTTACAAGACGGATTTCCTGTACAGCAAATAAAGAGCCAGTGTACTTAGAATGGCACTGGCTGGAATGGAATGGAACTCCGCCTGTAGCTCTAATAGGGTTACTGCCGGTCCCAAGCCCGGGTAAAGGAGGAGGGTTGGGCATGGGGTTAGCGTCCCCATCCCGTAGAAAACTAACTCGCTAAAAAAACGCTTACCAGAAAAAATTATTCAAACCATTTAAACTCTGCCCTGGGAGTTAGAAGGTCTTCAGTTAGAAGAATTATGACGCTTCATGGTGAAAGCCGAGTTCCTTCGGAAGCCACGAGGCCGATGCCCCTTCTAACAACCAGAGCAAAAATTTTTATAGGTACATGGAACGTTCGAACAATGTGGGAAACCGGGAAGACCAGTCAAATAGCAATGGAAATGAGGAGATACAACTTAGCAGTACTGGGAATCAGCGAAACCCACTGGACCCAAGCTGGACAGAAAAGGCTAGCTACGGGAGAGATGCTGCTATACTCCGGTCACGAGGAGGACAATGCTCCACACACTCAGGGAGTCGCTCTTATGCTGTCCAAAGTAGCACGAAATGCACTTGTAGGATGGGAGTCTCACGGATCCAGAATCATCAAAGCATCATTCAAAACAAAGAAGGAGGGGATCTTAATGAATATTATCCAATGTTATGCACCCACCAATGATAGCAACGACGACATTAAAGATCAGTTCTACGAGCGGCTACAGTCAATCATTGAGAAATGCCAAGAAAGGACCTAACTATTCTGATGGGAGATCTAAATGCCAAAGTCGGAATAGACAACACCGGATATGAAGATATCATGGGACGACATGGACTGGGACAAAGAAACGAAAATGGAGAAAGATTTGCAAATCTATGTGCATTCAACAAATTGGTCATAGGAGGCACAATATTTCCACACAAGCGTATACACAAGGCTACATGGATCTCACCGGACCACACTACAGAGAACCAAATAGATCATATTTGCATCAACAAAAAATTCCGAAGGACAATGGAAGATGTGAGAACCAGGAGAGGTGCTGACGTAGCTTCAGATCACCACCTAGTTGTAGCCAATTTAAAACTGAAGCTAAAAAAGAACTGGACAAGTGGACAAACAGCACTACAAAGGTTCAATACAGCCTTCCTTCGAGATACTGACAAACTCAATGAATTCAAGATAGCTCTCAACAACAGGTTCCAAGCCTTACAAGATCTACTGAAAGAAGAAGAAACTAGTATGGAGGACAACTGGAAAGGCATCAAGGAAGCATTAACTTCAACGTGTCAAGAGGTTCTGGGCCTAAAGAAACACCATCATAAGGAATGGATCTCTATAGAAACACTGGACAAGATCAAAGAAAGGAAGAACAAGAAGGCAGCAATTAACAACAGCCGAACACGAGCAGAGAAAGTTCAAGCACAAGCTGAATACATAGAAGCAAACAAACAAGTGAAGAGGAGCATTAGAGCCGACAAGAAGAAATACGTGGAAGAACTAGCAACGACGGCAGAAAAAGCTGCTAGAGAAGGAAATATGAAACAGCTTTACGATACAACGAAGAAACTAGCAGGGAAATACAGTAAACCAGAGAGGCCGGTCAAAGACAAAGAAGGCAAGCCAATCACCGAAATTCAACATCAGCGTAACAGATGGGTGGAATACTTCGAGGAACTCCTGAATAGGCCGGCTCCAATGAATCCACCGGACATCGAAGCAGCACACATAGATCTTCCTATAGATGTCAACCCACCAACGACGGAAGAAATTAGAATGGCCGTCAGACAAATCAAGAACGGGAAAGCAGCAGGACCCGACAACATACCAGCTGAAGCACTGAAATCAGACATCGAAGCAACCACAAGCATGCTGTACCTTCTATTCAAAAAGATTTGGGAGGAGGAACAAGTGCCGATGGACTGGAAAGAAGGACACCTCGTCAAGATTCCAAAGAAAGGAGATCTGAGCAAATGTGAAAACTACAGAGGCATTACACTACTGTCAATACCAGGGAAAGTCTTCAACAGAGTGTTGCTGAACCGGATGAAGGATGCAGTAGACGCCCAACTTCGAGATCAACAAGCTGGATTCCGTAAGGATCGGTCGTGCACAGACCAAATTGCAACACTACGGATCATCGTCGAACAATCAGTGAGTGGAACTCATCACTATACATCAACTTCATTGATTATGAAAAGGCATTCGACAGTGTAGATAGGAGGACATTATGGAAACTTCTTCGACACTACGGAGTTCCTGAGAAGATTGTCAACATTATCCGGAACTCATACGACGGACTACAGTGCAAAGTAGTGCATGGAGGACAGCTGACAGATGCATTCCAAGTAAGGACTGGAGTCAGACAAGGCTGTTTACTCTCTCCCTTCCTCTTTCTTCTGGTGGTCGACTGGATTATGAAGACCTCGACATCTGAAGGAAAACACGGAATACAATGGACAACTCAGAATCAATTAGACGATTTGGACTTCGCAGACGACCTAGCCCTCCTATCACGTACACACGAACAGATGCAGATGAAGACAGCCAGTGTAGCAGCAGTCTCTGCATCAGTAGGCCTCAGCATACACAAAGGGAAAACCAAGGTCCTCAAATTCAACACGCAGAACAGCAATCCAATCACTCTTGATGGCGAAACTCTGGAAGATGTAGAGTCCTTCACATACCTAGGAAGCATCATCGATGAACAAGGAGGTTCAGATGCAGACGTAAAGGCGAGGATCGGCAAAGCAAGGGTCGCATTCCTACAATTGAAGAACATATGGAACTCAAAACAACTTTCAACCAATATCAAAGTGAGAATCTTCAATACGAACGTCAAGGCAGTTCTACTGTATGGAGCTGAAACTTGGAGAACTACAACAACCACCATCAAGAAAGTACAAGTATTTATAAATAGCTGCCTACGCAAGATACTCAACATCCACTGGCCGGATACCATCAGCAATAGCCTTCTGTGGGAGAGAACAAACCAACTTCCAGCTGAAGAAGAAATTAGGAAAAGACGATGGAAATGGATAGGACATACATTACGCAAATCGTCAAACTGCATCACGAGGCAAGCCCTAACTTGGAACCCTGAAGGGAGGCGAAAAAGAGGAAGGCCAAAGAACACATTGCGTCGGATTATAGAAGCAGATATGAAAAGGATGAATTACAACTGGACGGAGCTAGAAAGGATTGCCCAGGACAGAGTTGGATGGAGAATGCTGGTGAGTGGCCTATGCTCCTTCACGAGGAGTAACAGGCGTAAGTAAGTAAGTAAGTACTTAGAATGGAAAGCTTACCCGATCGATATCGATGATTTTCACGAATGTATCTGCGATTTTGAGCATTAATAGGAGAATTATTTTGGGGCTCATTTCTGAAAGACTCTGTAACATTATCACCACAACCAACAGCCTGGCCACGTGGGCCTAAATGATGCGTTTCATTAAGTCCAGGAAGTAAAACTCCACCATAAGGAATATGTGAGTTATTAGATGAATTAGTTGAGTTGACTGAGTAAACATAGAAAAAGATAAATAAATCTTTTAAAATATTACAACTAATGATCAATTTTGCGATCGCTTGACGCATCAAAATGAACAGAAAACATAATTTCTTCTCGTAAATGACACCATAGCGTGATAGTATACAAATAAATCCATTGTTTAAGACGTTATTCAACAGTTATTACTCAAAAACTTAACCCTATGTGGGCAAATTGAAATGCAAGTTTGAATATCGTACATCATCATCACTTAGCATTTAACACAAAAAAACTACATAGCACATTATGCTACCATTTCGTCACTCTTCCGATAGATGATAAAGAGATTATTGTGGGATCGACTTGAAGTTTAATTTAGTATATCAGTGTAAAACCGGAAACGAGAATCTTATGAACGATGATTGACTTATCAGTAGTCTTCAATCCGGATGAAATTTAAAATCAACAGTTCAGATGGACTTCACTGATTAAAGCTTCCTTCTATAACGCTAAGAATCATTCCCGAAATTAACCAACAATTAAGATATGCTATGTTTTTATACATATTCATGATGCAGTAGCTGTTACAGTCTAAGACTACAGAAACAGGTTTGTAGTGTTAAAATAACATAGCTAGTTCAAATGTGAGTATATGAGTTCGAGTTTTTACAGATAATGTACGTTAGTACTGCTATGAAATATTAGAAAGGATTTTTTCTTTAAGACTAATTCATGACAGCCCACATCACAACTATTGTTGCCGCATTAATGATATTATTTATATGCCATGATCATCTTACTATAGGTAGAAAAACAACCATGAGACATATATGTTGTGATCTACTTGGATAATAACTAAGAAAGAATGTAATTCAAAATATATAACTCACTCGGAGCGTTGATAAACGGAGCTAGGAGCTTCTGCTTCTTTTTCTGGTATCCTTTTTCTGTTATATCACCTGAAATTTATTACAATGAATTGGATAGTGTTAAGCTTACGAAGCCTGACAAGTTTATAGCTTAGTAAAACATTACATCACCTTCGCCAAGTGAAACTAGTATAAAATGTAACACATAGGATGTAGTCTACTAGGTTTAAATGAGTAAATCGCCATGAACAAAAATAGAAAGAATAATTAGGAGTTAATTATTTACAACACAAGTAAATCCTGATGAAACGGGGCACTGAAAAAATGTTCAACACTAAACCATCATACCATAATAGAAGAGGAAGGAGCCATAAAATCCGTAAGCAAATGGACACGAATAGTATGTGATAAATGATATATTTTAATGAAAGAGAAGCACAACTGATATTATTCCAGTTAAGCAGGTTTATTGTAATCGGGAAATCTCAACAAAATCGTCATTGGGTTTTGTTCGAATCCATGTATGATAACCGCTTAGTTGATTAATCTCTAGGTCCCTTACTAAGGATAGGAAAACGGATCCAAGTTCTGTACAGCTATTTTTACGCCGCAACGCCACGTAATAGATTGAACAGCTACCTACTTTTAAACCCGGTCAACGAATAAACTAAAGAAACTACTGGAATAACATTTTTAGACTATTCGCGTCATCAGAGGCAGTTTAAATAACAAAATGATGGAAGAGTTATCAATACAACAACCAAAGGCACACTGGTCTTCAATATTACTTATAAAGTGTTGCTATTACACGTGAGTAATCCATCAAAGACAGCAATGATCAAACAGTTAGTGAATTTGTTTCCACCGAGAAAAGTTTCTTCAGCACGCAGAACAAATGCGAGCAACTTAATACTACCAAGTATTAACTCGAGAATTTTTTGCTGTTATGTACATAACCAGAATATACTTGCTGAACTGAATAACCTTTACGTTTCATGTTACTAACATAATAACTGAAGGATAAGTCGATTACTGAAGAGACCTTTCAGTATTCTAGAAACTTTGATTTTAATATCTGTTTACCTTATGTACAGTATGTTTGATTAACATACAAACATTCGCTAATAGCTGTCAGTTCGTGATGAGAAAATATTACCATCGGGTGAACTTAAAATAATCATGAGCTGCGATAACAAGTCTCACAAACGATTAGCAGTGTAAGTAGAACACAGCGTTTGACACGCCTATTAAGCCTAATCCGATGAACAGAAAGATAAGCTCAATACAATACCGCTATCGATTACACCTAAAATATAGGCTTAGTGGTACACTACTCAAAGTGGCCCACTGGAAGTAAACTGTGAGTGGTGAGATACAAGTAGTTAGTCTTGAAAACAAAGGATGTAGGGTACATTCTCCAAAATACAATTAACGAAAACTGGCAGCTCAATTTCAGAATCAACACTTAAATCAATATAGATCTGTCTCGAAACCTATTTACAAGAACTCAGTAGTCTGTTGCCTGAAAAACTAGGAGCATCTTGATTTTTCGCAAATTTGTCATGTAACTTCGTCTATAATTTATTTTTCCTCGTACAGTTGAGGCGTTGCAGCACATAATCAACCGATAACGATACAATGAAAGACTTTGCGAGATGAACTTACCTTCAGAAAGTTCAACTTCGAGCTCTGCTAGTTTGGTTTTGATCTCTAATGGCAATCTGGAATCTTCTGAACTTTCCATTAGGAGAAAATGTTATGGAGAACGACCTTCATCTTCAAAGGTCAAAAAATCAAAGCACGCTGGTAATCCACCGGTTTCAACGTCAACTTCAAATGGTTCAAATGGTTGTGTACGGAATAAGAGAAGCTTTCGCTTAATGGGCTTCCATGTCCAGTACCTAGAACCTGAGTGTATTGACGATGATTGAGGAAAAATGAAATTGGTAAATCATAGTGAGATATTATCTTTAGTCCTTAAGAATAGGTCAAGTTTCCTTTTATACGAATCCTGGGAAGTCGCTTGGACCAGCTCAGCCGGTAGAGAATTCTAGTATTTGACAGTTATTAAGGAGTGAAAGTTGTGTCTATAGTCCGTTCTGCTATGTTGTGTCTCTAGTTTCTTGGTGTTACCCCTTAGGTTTGGGTTGGGGTTAAACTTAAGTAGGTGTTTAAGGGAATGTCCTAATGTGTTAAAGATATTGTAAGCTATTAGAAGGTCACCTCTAAGACACCTATGTTCTAATGGATGAAGGTTAAGTGATTGGAGTCTCTCTTCACAAGGTATGAATTTGAGTTTCCGAACTGATTTCCTGGCTTGTCGTTGGATACGCTCCAGAGTGTCCTTATCCTTTTGGAGTGAGGGGGAAATACTATGTTTCCGTACTCCGAATGAAGACAAATAAAAATATTGAAGATTATGTGGAAAGTTCTGCTGTCAAACTGGCTAAAAATGGGCTTCAATTTTGCCAGTGCAAGATTTGCTCGAGAGGCATTTTTGTCATAGTTAAAGTAAGACTTCAAATTGTAGGGTACCAGGACTTCTAAATCTTTTTCGAATTGAGATGCTTCTGAAGAGGAGTTTCTCAAGTTGTAACTGTAGTTTGTAACGTGTCGGAGATTGACTACTTTACAACTTGAAGTGTTTAAGTTTCGCGTCATCAGCAAAAAGTAATAGGTCAGACAACACCTGTTGTGGAAGACCATTTATATAAATCAAGAAGAGAAGAGGTCCTAGTACTGAACGTTGATGGACCTCACTAGGACGTTCCATAGTCTGAGATAAAATAAAGTTAACCCTGACCTTAAAATGTCGATTTTTCAGATACGAAATGAGCCAATCAGTTAGAGGTATTCTGATACCCAATCGTTTGAGCTTATTGATAAAACATATATGGTTGACCCTATCAAAAGCTTTTGAGAAATCAAGATAAATGATGTCAACCTTCCCCTTGCGATCAAGGATGCTTGTCCATCTGTCCACCACGGTCAGTAGGTTGATCATAAAAGAATAACCCTTCCTGAAACCATGCTGCTGGGGCGAGAAGAAATTTAAGGACAGTAAATAGTCATTTATGGTTAGCGTTTTTTTAGCGATTTAGTTTTCTACGTGATGTGGACGCTAACCCCATGCCCAACCCTCCTCCTTTATCCGGGCTTGGGACCGGCAGTAGCCCCCGGAGGGACTCCAGGCGGATCACACAACACAAAACCAAATCGACCATATTTGCATCAACAAAAGGTTCAGGAGGAAGATGGAAGACGTTTGAACCAAGAGAGGAGCTGATATAGCATCAGATGATCACTTGCTGGTCGCCAAGATGAAATTGAAACTCAAGAAGTACTGGACAATGGGGCGGACAATATCACAAATGTTCAATACGGCCTTTCTTCAGAACACTGACAAACTCAACAAATTCAAGATAGTCCTCAGCAACAGGTTCCAGGCCTTTCATGATCTACTCAATGGAGAAGGAACTACTATGGAGAGCAACTGGAAGGGGATCAAAGAGGCAATCACTTCAACATGTCATGAGATCCTGGGTCACAAGAAGCACCATCACAAGGAATGGATCACTGTTGATACACTGGATAAGATTCAAGAAAGAAGGAACAAGAAGGCAGCAATCAATACCAGTCGAACAAGAGTAGAAAAAGCCAAGGCACAAGCTGAATACACAGAAGTGAACAAGCAAGTGAAGAGGAACATCAGAACCGACAAACGTAAATATGTGGAAGATCTAGCAATGGCGGTAGAAAAGTCTGCAAGAGAAGGAAACATGAGACAATTGTATGACACGACAAAGAAACTCTCTGGAAATCGCCGAAAACCAGAACGACCAGTGAAAAGCAAGGAAGGCGAGGTAATCAACAACATTGAAAAACAACGAAACAGATGGATAAAAAACTTCAAAGAACTCTTAAATCGACCAGTTCCACTGAATCCACCCAACATCGAAGCAGCACCCACGGACCTCCCAATCAATGTTGGCCCACCAACAATTGAAGAAATCAGCATGGCCATCAGACAAATCAAGAGTGGCAAAGCAGCAGGACCGGACAACATCCCAGCAGAGGCACTAAAAGCAGACGTAGCGGCAACTGCAAGGATACTCCACATTCTCTTCAATAAGATTTGGGATGAGGAGCAAGTACCAAAAGACTGGAAAGAAGGACTCCTGATCAAAATACCGAAGAAAGGCGATCTCAGCAACTGTGATAACTACAGGGGCATCACTCTTCTCTCAATACCGGGAAAAGTCTTCAACAGGGTATTGTTAAACAGGATGAAGGACTGCGTAGACGCCCAACTTCGTGACCAACAGGCAGGATTCCGTAAGGATAGATCGTGAACAGACCAAATCGCAACTCTACGGATCATTGTGGAACAATCAATTGAATGGAATTCATCACTCTACATCAACTTCATTGACTACGAAAAGGCATTTGATAGCGTGGACAGAACAACACTATGGAAACTTCTTCGACACTACGGCGTGCATCAGAAGATAGTCAATATCATACAGAATTCTATGATGGATTACACTGCAAAATTGTGCATGGAGGACAGTTGACAAAGTCGTTCGAAGTGAAGACCGGTGTTAGGCAAGGTTGCTTACTCTCACCCTTTCTCTTTCTCATGGTGGTCGACTGGATCATGAAGACGTCAACATCTGAAGGGAAACACGGGATACAATGGACATCTAGGATGCAGTTGGACGATCTAGACTTCGCAGATGATCTGGCCCTTCTATCCCAAACGCACTAACAAATGCAGGAGAAGACGAACAGTGTGGCAGCAGCCTCAACAGCAGTAGGTCTCAATATACACAAAGGGAAAAGCAGGATTCTCCGATACAACACAACATGCACCAATCCAATCACAATTGACGGAGAAGCATTGGAGGATGTAAAAACCTTTACGTATTTGGGCAGCATCATTGATGAACATGGTGGATCTGATGCTGATGTGAAGGCGCGAATCGGAAAAGTAAGAACTGCATATTTACAATCGAAGAACATCTTCAACTCAGAGCAACTGTCAACCAACACCAAGGTCAGGATTTTCAATACAAATGTCAAGACAGTTCTACTGTATGGGGCAGAAACCTGGAGAACTACGAAAGCCATCATCCAGAAGATATAGGTGTTTATTAACAGTTGTCTACACAAAATACTTCAGATCCGTTGGCCGGACACTATTAGCAACAACGTACTGTGGGAGAGAACAAACCAGATCCCAGTGGAGGAAGAAATCAGGAAGAAGCGCTGGAAGTGGATAGGACACACATTGAGGAAAGCACCCAACTGCGTCACAAGACAAGCCCTCACATGGAATCCTGAAGGCCAAAGGAAAAGAGGAAGACCAAAGAACACATTACGCCGAGAAATGGAGATAGACATGAGAAAAATGAACAAGAATTGGATGGAACTAGAAAAGAAGGCCGAGGACAGAGTGGGTTGGAGAATGCTGGTCAGCGGCCTATGCTCCATTGGGAGTAACAGGCGTAAGTAAGTAAGTAAAATAGTCATTTATGTAAGATCCATTTTGAATGTTTTGTTTGTTGGTGAAAATCCCTCCATGTATCTACTTGTACTTTGTTCCTATGGATCCCCTTAGTTGTACATTGTTGTCTTTTGATTACATTTGAATTGTTAATACTTGTATTTTTTATTATAGATTTTGTTTTTCTTACGCATTCACTAAGTTTGTGTTTCTTCCCGAACTGTATCTGTGTTGTTTTACTGGACACTTGTTCTTGGCGGTAGCCATATTGATTTGCTCCTCCTTTTGTGTGTTCTATCCAGTCAGGATAGAATAACGTTCATTTGTTGTGACTGGTAATTTTCCGTCATCTTTTATCAACTCCTTTATTTATTGTAATTTAGATTTATTTATTGAACAATTATTGGTTGAATAGCCGGGTGGTAATATTTGTTTAGGTAACGATTTACATTTAAATTTATGATGAATTATAGAACCGCTATTTACCCGATTACTTGTTTTGATTTCGACGGGAAAGGGCGCGTGTCTAAAGTACCTGGACGGTTATTCTTCAACATCCAAACCGTAGTTTGGATTCTACAATTTATACCATTGCATATCAGGGACTCCATGATTCTTGAAGGCATTGAAAGAAGAGCCACCGGTCGGTAACTTAAAGGTTCACTGCGTCGACCTCCTCTGAAAATCGGTGTGGTGTGAGTCAGCTTCCAAATTTCTGGTAGTTTTTCTCGGCTTAGAGAGTGTGAGAACATCACACTAAGCGTGATTATAGCAGAATAAAGTATATCTGGGCCAGGAGAAATATCTTTTCTTAGGTACTGTAGTTTCCGGAACACCAAGTCAGCGCTCAGGTCTATTACGGAAAGTCCTGTGCAGTTCCAATTGAAGCTGTCCTCAGCATAGTTGATGTGAGTCGGTTGAAATGTCCGAGAGTATTGTTCAGCCAAAAGGTTAGCGGCGTCACAGTCGTTATTAGTCGGGCCGTTAGGACCTAGCAGTTCGGAAACTCCAGTTTTGGCTTGACGAAGAGAAGCTGCATAACAGAATAAGCTTCTCGGATTGGAGATTAATTTATCGATAAGCATTGTCTGGTACTGAAGCTTGTTTTCTCTTATGGCCTTCGCGCATATGTTTCTTATATGTTTGTATTGCCTGTACGCGCCGTTGTTGTCACTTCGTTCGTATTCTGCCCAACAGTGCCTTTTGCGGCTTAACAGGCGATGAGCGCGGTTCTTGAT